GGCAGCAAAAAAAAAAAAAAAAAAAACCAACAGGATTTTGACCTGCATAAATAGGAGTCTAGTGTCTTTGTTGTTTATTTGTTCAGTTTCTTCCGACTCTTTGTGACCTCATGGACCAGCCCATGCCAGAGCTCCTTATTGGCTATGGCCACCTCCAGTTTCTTCAAATTCAAGCCAGTCCCTTCAGTCCCATTCATCCATCTTGCCCTTGGTCGGCCCCTCTTCCTTTTTCCTTCCATTTTCACCAGCATTGTTGTCTTCTCCAAGCTTTCCTGTCTTCTCGTTATGTGGCCAAAGTACTTAATCTTTGCCTCTAATATCCTTCCCTCTAGTGAGCAGTCAGGCTTTATTTCCTGGAGTATGGACTGGTTGGATCTTCTTGCACTTTCTGACACTCTCAGAAAGTGACTTCAGGGGAAGTCATGCTATCCCTCTATTCTGCCTTGGTCAGACCACTTTACCTGGAATCACACTGTGTCCAATTCTGGGCACCACAATTGAAGGGAGATGTTGACAAGCTCGAATGTGTTCAGAGAAGGGTGACTAAAAGGATCAAGGGTCTGGAGAACAAGCCCTATGAGGAGCGGCTTAAAGAGCTGGGCGTGTTTAGCCTTCAGAAGAGAAGGCCAAGAGGAGACATGATAGCCACATGTAAAGATGTGAGGAGAAGTCACAGGGAGGAGGGAACAAGCTTGTTTTCTGCTGCCCTGGAGACTAGGACAGAGAACAATGGCTTCAAACTACAGGAAAGGAGATTCCACATGAACATTAGGAAGAACTTCCAGACCTCGAGAGCTGTTCAGCAGTGGAATCCTCTGCCTCAGAGTGTGGTGGAGGCCCCTTCTTTGGAGACTTTGAAACAGGGGCTAGATGGCCATCTGTCAGGGCTGCTTTGAAAGTGATTTTCCTGCTTTATTGGCAGTGGGTTGGACTGGATGGCCCACGAGGTCTCTTCCAACTCTATGATTCTATGATTCTATTATTATTATCATTATCACAATCCTGCTTTCCTCACTTAAACAAGCCTCAAAGCATCTTACTTGGAAGAACCATTTGATTCTTCCCTTATGCAAGCAAGAGTGTGACATCGCTCGGCATGTGCTCTGAGACTCTCTTTTCCACAAACTTGGGACCCTCATTTGTGGGCTGTAGCTGCTCAACAGCCATTTGTGTCCTAAAGTTTTGTTCCTTGTGTTGCTTCTGCCAAGAAGGTGAAGAGTGCAGCAATTCAGCAGAAACATGAAGGGAGACATCAGGGCAGATCAGGGCAAGAGAGACAGCCATCTGAAGAGATAGAGGAACTGGTTGCTTCGGTGCCAAGGAAGGAAGGAAGGAAGGAAGGAAGGAAGGAAGGAAGGAAGGAAGGAAGGAAGGAGGGAGGGAGGGAGGGAGGGAGGGAGGGAGGGCGGACGGACCAGAAAGGCAGAAAGAGATGGAACTGTCCACTTCCCCCAAACCTTAGACAATATGCTACATGTGTGAATGACCTCTTTGTAGCTTGGAAATGTAGCAACAATATGGTGACTGTACAGAACTAACATTTGCAGAAGTTACTAATGCATATGGAAACACCACAGCAGTACGATTCTTGTTTGCAACTTGAATTTTCAAAAGTTACAAATGTATATGAAAATACAACAGCAATATGATTGCTTACAACTCAAATTTGCAAAAGTTACAAATACTTTTGGAAATACAACAGCAGTACGATTCCTGTGTGTGACTAAACTTTACAACGGTTACAAATTAGTTTGGAAATATAAAAACAATATGATTACTAGATGCAACTAACATTTCCAAATGTTGCAAATGTTTATGATTTCTTGTAGATTGGGAATATAACAGCGATAAGGCTACTGTATTCAACCAACATTTGCAAAAGGTACAAATAGAACAGCAATACGGTGACTAACATTTGCAAAAGTTACAATTGTTATTGACCTCTTTCTAGCCCAAAAATGTAACAGCAACATGATTCCTGTTTGCAACTAAAGCTTATGGAGTTCCAAAGGATCTTGGAAATAGAGTAGCAATGGTATTCCTGTTCACAACTAACATTTGCAAAAGTTACAATTGTTAATGACATCTTCCTAGCTTGAAAACGTAACAGCAATATGGCTACTAGGTTCTTGTGGGTTTTTTCGGGCTATAGGGCCTATAGCCTGAAAAAACCCACAAGAACCTAGTGATTCCAGCCATGAAAGTCTTCGACAATAAATATGGCTACTGTTTGTAACCAATGTTTGTGTCATGTGACTATTCTAATCAAATCAATTTTCAATAATAATTTATATTTAAGAAAAAATAATTCGGGTTACATGAGATCATCAATATCTTATAAAAGCATTGTCAAAGGTTTTCATGGCTGGAATCACAGGGTTGTAGGTTTTTCGGGCTGTATGGCCATGTTCTAGAAGCATTCTCTCCTGATCTATGGCAGACATCCTCAGAGGTTGTGAGGTCTTTTGGAAACTAGGAAAATTGGGTTTATATATCTGCGGAAAGTCCAGGGTGGGAGAAAGAACTCTTGTCTGTTGTAGCTAGGTGTGAATGTTTCAATTGCCTACCTTGATTAACATTTGATGGCCTGACAGGTTTTTTTTTACTGTCTGGGGGAATCCTTTGTTGAGAGGTGATTAGCTGTTCCTGATTATTTCTTGTCTGGAGTTCCCCAGTGTTTGAGTGTTGTTCTTTTTATACAGTTATAATTTTAGAGTTTATTTAATACTGGTAGTCAGATTTCATTCATGTTCATGGTTTCCTCCTTTCAGTTGAAATTGTCCACATGCTTGTGGTTTTCAATGGCTTCTCTGTGTAACCTGGCATGGTAGTTGTTAAAGTGGTCCAGCATTTCTGTGTTCTCAAATAATATGCTGTGTCCAGGTTGGTTCATCAGGTGCTCTGCTATGGCTGACTTCTCTGGTTGAAGTAGTCTGCAGTGCCTTTCATGTTCCTCGATTCGTGTCTGGGCGCTGCGTTTGGTGGTCCCTATGTAGACTTGTCCACAGCTGCATGGTATCCGGTAGACTCCTGCAGAAGTGAGAGGATCCCTCTTTGCTGAATGTAGAATTTGTTGGATTTTCTTAGTGGGTCTGTAGATAGTTTGTAGGTTGTGTTTCCTCGTCAGCTTCCCTACGTGGTCAGTGGTTCCCTTGATGTATGGCAAGAACACTTTTCCTCTGGATGGATCTTTGTCTTCCCTCTTGTGGCTTGTTCTTGGTCTCGCAGCCCTTCTGATGTCTATGGTGGCGTCTCTATTGGCCTGTAGAGCCCAGTTTAGGTGATCCGGTTCATCTTGGAGGAGTTGCAGATTCTTTTGGCACGGTCTTATAAAGGCTTACATCTTGACTAAAGATATAAAAGTTGGAGTATGTATGTTTATTTATATATATTTTTGTTTGCACTACAAAGAATCCTAGATGATTTGATGGATCAGGACCACACGTGGCCTGTCATGATCCAACAAAAAAAACTATTTGTGGGGAGCTGATGGGGGATGTTGGATGTTGTAATCCAGTCACATCCAGAGATACAGCTTGGGCCTGATGAGAGATGTGGCTGTCAGCTGTGCGGTTTTATAAAAGGTCCCATTTATGCATTTTTAATGGAGCCATTCATAAACAATGCACACTTCTAATCAATAGCATTACAAAATACGAACCAAGAGCAATAAGAGTATTGTATATAGCAAGAGTATTGTATAGGCACACCTCCGGGTGTTTTGGACTGCGATTCTCACAATTCCTAACAGCCTACTGGATGTTAGGAATTGTGGGAGTTGAAGTCCAAAACACCTGGAGGGCTGAAGTTTGTCCATGTCTAGTATACACTATACACAAATTCAATAGTTATAGTTAGGAAGTATAACTCCTAGGATAGCATTACATCGAGCCACCCAAGTGGGGCCAGACTGCATTCATCCTGGTGTGTAGATGCAGCCAAAGGCAACCTTGGGCCTTCAATGCCAAGGTTGCCTTTGTCCTTCCTGCAAATAAACCTTCTAGAAAGAAGTATAGTATTGCTCTTGGTTTCTTTCCATTTATGCTGTCGCTTAATGAGTGTTCCTTTACTGCCAGAAGGTTTGTTGGAGGCAGGTTAATTGTCCTTAACCCCCATTTCCTCCATCAAAGGGGCATCTCCAGAAGGTCAATGAGGTTTGGAAGAAGATTGCTATGGGGTCAATGCTTCTTTGTCTCCAAATGCAATTGACTTTGCAAGGACCCTGTTCCATACTTTGCTCCAAATTAAGCACAGCTCCCTTCATAGAGATGTTCAATGTGTTGTCAGAATCACTGGGTTGCTGTGAGTTTTTGGGGCTGTATGGCCATTTACAGCAGCATTATTTCTTTATGTTTTGCCTGCACATGTGGCAAGCATCCACAGAGGTTTGTTCAGAGGTCTGTTGGAAGTGAGACAAGTGGAGTGTATATACCTCTGATACACATGTCTGTGTATCAAGACAGTCAGTAAGGAACACCACTCAGCAACAGAGGAATTCCAGATAGCAAACAATCAAGTGCCAGTGAACATCTCCCAAGCAGAGGATGCCTCCCGGCAACAGCACTGATTGACTTTGCAGCTGCAAGGTTACTCCATGCCAATCAAGCTTGCCAATTGCAACATTTACACTTGCTTCAAACAGACAAGGGTTCTTTCTCCCACCCTGGACTTTGCACAGATATATGCACTCCAGTTGCCTCATTTCCAAACCTCTGAGGATGCTTACCACAGATACAGGCAAAACGTCAGGAAAGAATGCTACTGGAACATAGCCATACAGCCCGAAAAACTCACAGCAACCCAGCAGCTCCCTTTGTTTACATCTCTCATTAGAAGAGAGTGCACCTTCATTGATGGATATAACCAAGTCAGTGAGCAAGAAAACCCCTCTTGACTTGCACCGAGCCCAAGCAAATAGGGAGGGTTGACTCCCTTCTAGGTTAAAGGGTGATATGAGTGATTTGTAGTTGACCTGCCCTTGTTTCGGCTCTCTTTCTTAGGACCCTCGGAGCAAACACAAGTTCAAAATCCACACGTATTCCAGTCCTACCTTCTGCGACCACTGTGGGTCCCTGCTCTACGGACTCATCCACCAAGGGATGAAATGTGACAGTAAGTCCCATCGTCCACATAGATCCGACCCAACACCACTGATCCAGATCTTCTCACACTGTCGAATTTGATGCAGTTTGACCCAACTTGCCATGATTTGAGCCTATGGGAGTTGTAGTTTTCCAAGGTCTTTCCCCTTCTCTGCCAAAGAAGCCTACTGCCAGACCAAACTACAACTCCCAGAAACGCATAGTATTGATCCATGGCAATTCAGTTCATTCATTCTAAGCTATAGATGCACTTAAGGGCAATAAAACAGAAGCTATAACGTTTGGCTTCTCCTTTTGGGATTTCTATTTTGGGGGAAGGAAATATTTCTTGCATATGATGATGATGATGGTAATAATAACAAAAACAACAATAATAACAGCTACCACCACCACCACCACCACTTATTATTGTTATTGTTGTTGTTGTTATTATTTATTACCTTTTTCTTGAGGTGGGTTAAAACATGATAAAACACATATAACAAATAGAGAATATTTATCTTTGCTTCTTATTAATAATAATATTTAATATTAATATTATTTAATATTAATTAAATAATCAATAGTAATATTTATTAATATCGGATCCCTTGTCCAGATACATGTCATTGCTGTCTCACCCAGTGTTTTAATTTTAATCTATTGAATCCGGGATCACCCACAGTGATTAATTTCTGTGTTTAAATGTTGTGATTTTATATTGCTGATGTGTTATTTTTATTGGTTTTGTATTGTATTCTTATTTTTTATATTTTATTACTGTGTTCTTACTGTATTGATGTAAACTGCCCCGAGTCCCCTTGGGGAGATAGTGGTGGGGTAAAAATAAAATTATTATTATATTATTATTATTATAAATAAATAAATAAATAAATGTTATTTTAATTATTTATTACCTGCCTCTTGAAGTGGGGTACAACATGATAAAACACATATAACAAATAGAAAATATTTCTCTTTGCTTATTATTATTATTATTATTATTATTATTATTTATTACCTGCCTTTTGAGGCGGGGTACAACATGATAAAACATATATAACAAATAAGGACTAGTTCTCTTACTTTACCCTTTATTTTTTAACTCTCGTCCCCTGTTTCGTGCAAAGGGAAGAAATGATTCTTTTCCCTTGATTTTAACTCTTCTTCCTGGAAAGGAAAGATGCCAATTTCTTGCAATTGATTCAATTGCCTCTCTCGTTTTGCACGAAAGGAGAGCAAAGCACCAGATCCGGCCTATAAACCAGTCTTAGGGCGACATCTACAGGCCACTGCGAGAACTACAACAAATGTGACAAGTTTGGAAAAATGGGGAGGCAATGTTTGCAGACCGGGGGTCACACTTTGCAACCTGTTTCTTGGTGCATGAGCCAGGGGGCCTGGCCCATGTTGGAAAGGCCCCATAGGCTGCTCCAGATGCTCTATTGGTTTCACAGATCCAGGTGCATGTTAATCCAGTGGAAAGGTGCTTCCCTTATGGCCCCTTTCTTTCTTTTTCCAGCCTGCATGATGAATGTGCACAAGCGCTGCGTGATGAATGTCCCCAGCCTCTGTGGGACAGACCACACTGAGCGTCGGGGCCGGATACACATCAAGGCTGACATCGAGAACGACGTCCTCACCGTCATAGGTAACAACAGCAACGACGATATTTATTGCCTGCTCATATAACAGAGGAACATTTGGGAGAATCATTTACATACCACCCCTTCTCAATTATAGGGATGTATAGCCATCCCTTCCAACTTGCATAGGGCCCCCATGAAAGTGAAATAGCTTTGGCCACATTTCTTCTGTTCCTCCTTTTAATTGGGATTAAGTTTTTAATTTTTTTTATTATTATTAGAATTAATATTATTAATTATTTTTAAATTAATTAAAATGGAAGCTTGCTCAGCAAATATATCTTGTTGGAAGCTTTCCTTTTTCCCCTCTTTCTAACTGCAAATGGTTTTTATACAATTCATTAATTACATTTGAAGTCTTCATAACACCTGCATTCATTATGGAACTAGATAAATCAAGATGCTGGAAAGATGGACCTTTTTTGGAAGTCTGATTGATTGTTCTTTTACTGTGTGTGTGTGTGTGTGTGTGTGTGTATGCACACCATATTTATACCCCGCCCTTCTCACCCCAAAGGGACTCAGAGCGGCTCATATATATAAAATCAACAAGTCGATGTCATACAAATATGCATCCAAAAAATAAACAATCGAACAGCCCCATATCCTCAAAGGCACACAGCTTCTTCTATGGGCCAAGGGTGGCATTGCAGGGCAATGTGCTCCAATGCAGAAACAGTGGGCTTTCAAGGTGACTTCTGTTTAAAGGGAGGGAGGGGAAGGGGGCTTAGGATACTAAAATCTTAAAATCTAAATCTAAAACTATATTATATTATACTATATTATATTTTTAGATTTTAGTATCCTAGGCTCACTTTGCCCCTCCTTTAAACAGAAGTGACCTTGAAAGCCCACTGTTTGCATTGGAGCACATTGCCCTGCAATGCCACCCGTGGCCCATAGATGGAGCTGTGTGCCTATGAGTATATGGGGCTGTTCCATTGTTTTTTTGCAGGTGTTTGGTCTGAGATCCAGTCGTTGTCAGAAATTATGGCAATACAGCATCCAAAAAAAGATCTCTTCCAAAGGGAAATAAAAAAGGATCTTGGCTTCAATCCTTGCAGGTTTGCCAGCTTTTGCCTGGTTTGCGTCCTTTGTTGCAAAGCAAAGAAACAACGTCAATTGCAAATGCCGCACCTGCAAACTGGCGCATAAAAAGCAGACTCCGTCATTGGCATGATTGCGCTGTGAAGTCCCTTACACAGATTGGACACTAAGGGGCGCTGCTTTTCATGCAATCTGTGGTTGCATCTACACTGTAGAATTGATCGAGTTTCTGCAGCCACTTTTGCTGCCGCTGCCTTAATGGTATGGGATCCTGGGGGTCATAGTTTTACAAGGCCTGAGAGTTGCGGCACTTCCCAAACTATAACTCCCAGGATTCCACCCTATTAATCCATGGCAGACTGCATTCATTCTGTATTCTCTAGTTATTGTTATTACTAGCTTGGGTACCCGGTGTTGCCCGGGTTATTTGAAAAAGTCATTTTGTTTATATTTTACAAAATGCATAAAGTTGTGGGTGAGCTACAACTCACATTATGCCAGGTTAACTCCCTCAAACTCCATCAATACTTAAAGTTTGTCATGTTGGGCAAGTTTGCTCCAGATCAGGGGTCCACAAACTTTTTAAACAGAGGGCCAGGTCACAGTCCCTCAAACTGTTGGAGGGCCGGATTATAATTTGAAAAAAAAATAATGAATTCCTACGCACATGACACATATCTTATTTGTAGAGAGAAAAAACACTTTAAAACAATACAATAATTAAAATTAAGAACAATTTTAATAAATATAAGATTATTAGTATTTCAATGGGAAGTGTGGGCCTGCTTTTGGCTAATGAGATAGGATTATTATTGTTGTTGTGTGCTTTTAAGTCGTTTGAGATTTAGGTTGACCCTGAGTGAGAGCCGGGTAAATGACCTTGGAGGGCCGTATCCAGCCCCCGGGCCTTAGTTTGAGGACCCCTGCTCTAGATGCATAATTGGTGGGGTTCAGTGTGTTCTCTGGGTGCAGGATAAACTACAGCTCCCACCATGGTGAGTCAGTCCCCTTAAACCCTTCCTGTAGGTTTAGTTGATCATGGGGGTTCTGTGTGCCAAGTTTGGTCCAGATCTGTCATCGGTGGTGGTTCACAGTTTCTCCGGTTGTAGGTGAACTACAACTCCCAAAATCAAGATCAATCCCTCCCAACCCCTTCCAGTATTCAAATTTGGGCATATCAGGCATGTGTGCATAGTCGTTTGAGATCATGGTACTCTCTGGGTGCAAATCAAGGTGAATTCCCCCCAAAGCTCTCCATTATTTTTGGCGGTCATGGGGGTTCTGTGTGCCAAGTTACGTCCAGATCCATTTTTGGTGGGATTCAAAGTGGTCTTTGATTGCAGGTGAACTTTAAATCCCAGTAGCTACAACATCCAAATGTCAAGGGCAATTCCCCTTAAAACCCATTAGTATTCCATATTTGGGCATATTGGGGATGCATGCCACATTTGGTCCAGATCCATCGTTGTTTGGACCTGGACCTTTTCTCTGGATGTAGGTGAACTACAACTCCTATAAATCAAAGTCAATTTCCCCCAAACCTCTCCAGTATTTTTCATTGTCCATGAGGATTCAGTATGCCAAATATGGTCCAGGTCCATTGTTGGTGGGGGTCACAGTGCTGTATCTTGATGCAGGGTGAACTACAACTTCCATCATGTTGAGTCAGGCCCCCAAACCTCTCCAGTATGTTCAGTTGCTGATCAATTCTTCTGTTTGCTGTGTGCCATAGATTAGAGTAGGAAAGGGTTATGGAAGAGGCAGTCAGCAGTAGCATGCAAATTCCACACCAATTGAGAGTCAGAAAGACTGAGATGTTTGTGGTGGAGGAAATACATCCAATCTAGGATGACATTGTCCCCGTATGAAAGTCTTCACTTGGGTGGTGGGCAGTCATGTGTTTGTGGAGGACACTGGCAAGGCTCTTGTACATGGTCACGGTGCTTGCTATAACCTGCAATGTTATTGGTGGCTCCTCATAGGTGGGAATCATAGAAGTTTGTGAAAGTGGGAGCCTGTCTATGAAAGTGGGCTCCCCAGCCATGTACACACACATATATTTTCACTTTTATTGTGTGTATAGATTATTGTGATATCTATCGCTCCATAAGGAGACTCAAAGCAGCTTAACATAAAAGCATAAGCATACAATTTCAAATATACAAATATGCAACCATTAAAACAGAATTATATATACAGTATTTAAAAATTTGCAGTTAAAATCAATTGAAACTTATTCAGAGTTAAAAACCATATGTAACTCTTTATCAATGCAAACAGCAACTTCAGCTCTGCAGTGTTTATCTATTTATCAATCCCGACTCCCTACTAATTCCATCATATTTGGTTTGTGTTGATATTAATTACTTTATGATGGGAGAAAGGGTTGCAGAGATGTCTCCCAAATGCATTAAAACCTCCCAAAATTGCTCGTTAAATGGGGGTTAAAAAGGAAATAGGTATCCTGTTTTAAACCAGTGCTTTTCATTCTGGAATTTATATTTATTTACTTACTCTATTTGTATCCCACCTTTATCTACCCCGAAGGGGACTCAAGGCAGCTTTACATATGGCAACTGTTCAATGGATTTGGACAACAAACAGAATACACTTAAGTTAAAAATTAAAATTGAAATTAAATGCACATTAAAACATGTACCACATACAAAGCAATTGCATTCACTATTTTAAAAAAGCCATCCTCAATCATGGAATCTCCTTTGGGAGAAGGGAATGTGTTCCTGCTGGTACATAAGCCAGCCTGGGTCAGAGTAAGCTTCTGACCATTTGTCTAGCTTGCTGTCGACCTTTGCAGCCTTAAAGACAGTTGCATCTGTCAAGTAGGAAATTTAGGTACAGCTTATGCGGGGAAGCTAATTTAAGTAATTTACAATGCCATAAAACTTTTCAGCACTATGCAAAAGAATGAGGAAGTACTCCATCGGTGTCACAAGTGGATGGTGAAGCGACAGCTCCCCCAGTGGCCAGAATTCAAAAAACTCGTCATGAAGCTGGAAAGTTAATTAGCCTCTGTGTGTATGACTATATATGTTGTGTGTCTATGGCATTGAATGTTTGCCATGTATATGTGCATTGTGATCCGCCCTGAGTCCCCTGCAGGTTGAGAAGGGCGGAATATAAATACTATAAATAAATAAATAAATAAATAAATAAGGTTGAAAGGGACCTCTAAGAGCCATTTAGTCCAACCTATTTAAAAAGGCATCTCTGTTGGGATTTCAACCTGCAAACAAGGGAAGGACTTTGCATATTTCTCTCTCTTTTTCCAGTACGAGATGCGAGAAACCTTGTCCCCATGGACCCCAACGGCTTGTCGGACCCCTATGTCAAGCTCAAGCTCATCCCAGACCCCAAGAGCGAGAGCAAGCAGAAGACCAAGACCATCAAATGCTCCTTGAACCCTGAGTGGAATGAGACCTTTAAGTTGTGAGTATGGACAGGGCTCTTGCCTTGCTTCCTTTCCCTCCTATATGACAATATTGGGTTGAGGGCACTTCCATAGCTTCCACTCTGGATCTTTCATCTAAAGGTAAGAATGGAAACTCCAGGTCTTGATAGATGATTCCTATAGTTGAAAGGGACTCCCAAAGGCCATCCAGTCCAATCTCCTTCCACCAGGCAAGAAAGACACAATTCATGTTGCCTGAGGAAAAGTAAACACACAAAACAGCCGTGCTAGGTAGTCACGGGAATTCCTCTTCTTATGTGCTCCTTCAGCTGCACAGTGAGATGGACTGTCTAAAAGGCAAGCAGTTAGCTCCGGTTTAACCAACACTGCAGAGTCTTGGTCACAGTTAGCAGAGATTTATAACTCAGGATTAGGAATCAGCTGGTTTTTCCTGTAATAGGCAGTAAGCTTTGGAGAGCTTCTGTTTAACCATTTCAAAGCTCCCTGCTTGAGAAGTGATGGCATGATCATCAGCATAGATGAAACTCTCTGTCTCTTCTTCCAGTTGCTGGTCATTTGTGTAAATGTTAAACATTGATGGAGCAAGCATGCTTCCCTGAGGCAGGCTGTTCTTCTGTTTTTGCCATCTACTTCTCTGACCCTAGAACTCAACAAAAAAGCTCCTGTTTTGTAGCAGATTTCCTATGAAGCAGATGAGGTGGTAGTCCTTTGTGACATTATACATTTTTCTCAGGAGGATGTGATGATTTACAGTATCATATGCTGCTGACATGTCTATGAAGACAGCTCCATAACAACAACAACAACTACTACTACTACTACTACTACTACTACTACTAGTCTTTTGGCACTGCCACCTCTTCAGAAATCCCTTTTCAGAGCTGGAAAGTGTTGGATATGATTTCCACAATTTCTCTTCCCTTGGAGGATTGATGCATTTGTGCAATGTATAGGTGTATCATTTGCTATCCGTTCACTGTGCAGAAGCACTAAATGGATGAAAGTAAGTAGCAGGTTGAGGTTCTTTGTCTTTTAGCCTTGGTTTCATCTCTCTCTTTCTCCTTCCAAAGCTGCGAATGAATGTTTTGCAGTTTCTGTTGATCAAAGCTGTTATTGTTGTTCATTCGTTCAGTCGTCTCTGACTCTTCGTGACCTCATGGACCAGCCCACGCCAGAGCTCCCTGTCGGCCATCACCACCCACAGCTCCTTCAAGGTCAGTCCAGTCACTTCAAGGATGCCATCCATCCATCTTGCCCTTGGTCGGCCCCTCTTCCTTTTTCCTTCCACTTTCAAAGCTATGTGTTTCAAACAGTGACAACAAGGCTGTCAAGCCATGGGGCATCAGTCGCAAATGTGCCTCGCTTCCTTCCTTCTGGAGCCATTGATGGATCAAATGCCCAAGTGAAGTGCAGGGAGGTTTTCACGCTGCTCCTGCCATAAAAACCAACAATGCCGCTGCTCAACAACCTCTCCCTTCTTTTCTCCATTATCCCTTTCCTTCCTTCCTGCAGCCAGCTGAAAGAGTCGGACAAGGACCGTCGTTTGTCGGTGGAGATCTGGGACTGGGATCTGACCAGCAGGAATGACTTCATGGGGTCTCTCTCCTTTGGGATTTCAGAGCTGCAAAAGGCTGGAGTGGACGGCTGGTAAGGGAGCCAGACAGGATTGTGATGTATAACGTTAGAAAAGACTTTATTATTTATTTACTTATTTACTGTATTTATAGCCCGCTCTTCTCAACCCCAAAGGGGACTCAGAGCAGCTTACAGATTATGGCAACATTCAATGCCGCATCATACAACAAATAATAAATATAACATATCAAATTATAAAACAATTAAAACATATAAATGCAATAAGTGCAACAACAAATAAAATAACATATTAAATATTTATTTATTTATTTGTCGTGTCAGGGGCAACCAGAAAATTGTATTACATTTCTAACAGAACAAAACAAACAAACAGGCAAAACACAAAGTTTGCAAGTTTGGTAGTTGATTAAATGTCCTTTGACCAGTATCTGGCCACTTGGAGTGCCTCTGGTGTTGCCGCAAGAAGGTTCTCCATTGTGCATGTGGCAGGGCTCAGGTTGCATTGCAGCAGGTGGTCTGTGGTTTGCTCTTCTCCACACTCGCATGTCGAGGATTCCACTTTGTAGCCCCATTTCTTAAGGTTGGCTCTGCATCTTGTGGTGCCAGAGCGCAGTCTGTTCAGCGCCTTCCAAGTCGCCCAGTCTTCTGTGTGCCCAGGGGGGAGTCTCTCATTGGGTATCAGCCATTGGTTGAGGTTCTGGGTTTGAGCCTGCCACTTTTGGACTCTCGCTTGCTGAGGTGTTCCAGCAAGTGTCTCTGTAGATCTTAGAAAACTATTTCTTGATTTAAGTCGTTGACGTGCTGGCTGATACCCAAACAAGGGATGAGCTGGAGATGTCACTGCCTTGGTCCTTTCACTATTGGCTGCTACTTCCCAGCGGATGTCAGGTGGTGCAATACATATTAAACTATAAAGCATTTAAAACATATAAATGCAATAAACATATTAAAATAGTTTTAACAGATCAGATGTTCCATCAGTGGAAGAATGAGATGCCAAACCAGAGTGGCAGTGTTCACTCAAGAGAGGGCTCAGGTGAATCAAGGGCCATGGCTGGAAAAAACAAATGTTGGTATCTCTGTGCTGACCCAAGGATGCTGAAATGGAGGCCAGTCAAGATAAAGCCCAGCAGCACCAAGCGGTCCCCAGGAGCTGAGTGAGTCTCTAGAAGCTGAGCCAGAGGCAGCAAGGGAAATAAACGCTGCCCCTTCCCTCAAAGCCCCTGGTCATAGTACCTTCCCTTCTTGCTTAGACCTGAGGCCCTGCAGGTGTGGTTCTTTTTATGCTCCAGCCTCTGGGGCAAGCAGGTGTTGTTGCTGGCCTTGAGCTGCAGAGTCAGGGCCTCGGTTCTGCCAGGAGTGAGTCCATAGGAACTGAGCAGAGGCAACAGGAGAAACAAATGCTGCCCCTTCCCTCAAAGCCCCTTCCCTTCTTGCTTAGACCTGTTTACTCCAAAGACTTCTTAACTAGGGCTGGGCAACCACGGAAAAATGTGTTTCTAAACTCGATTCGTTTTTAGGGGGGGTTTGCGTATTGTTTTTTAAAAGAATTCTGAAATTTTTCTTTAAAAAAGTTCGATATTTACAAAATTTCGGAAATTATGAAACAATTTCGAAACAAGAACGAATCGATTCGTTAATGGCGGACGCGATTGCGCAATACGCTAAAAAACCCTCCAAATGGGACAGGGGGAACTTCTGAAGCTTCCCTCTCCCTCTGTTGTTGACTGTTGGTGTGATAATTTATTTTTTTATCACTGATAAAACAAACAACAGCTATAAAACTTGCACCAGACATATGGAAATAATAACGAAATAATAACAAAACAATTTCGAAACAATTACGAAATAAATTTTAAAAATTCGTTTCAATTTTTAGTTGCTCCTGAATGGTTCAATATCGCATCGTTATCAAAAAAATAACGAATTAATAACGAATTACGAAATTAACGAACGAAACCGCCCAGCCCTATTCTTAACTACATAAAAAGATAAAATCAGGACTAATTATATAAGTAACTAATTAACAGCAGACATCTTGCCTCTCTCCAGGCTCACAGGAGGAGAACACAAATGGAGGACTGGGGCTTGCTATATACTCAGATACTTTGTATAGAACTAAGTGTGGATCGGAGTAGAGAACAGAGTGACAGAGTGGCCAATGAGGAAGGGCTTATCACAGCCAGAACTCACTCATCTGCCTATCTCAGTCCTTAATGAGGACTACAAGCTTGTGCAGACTGTTCTTGCATTCCAAAACAAAGATGGCAGACAAGGTTGAAAGAAAGACAGTTCTATTGGGTGCATCTACGTTGTAGACCGGATGCAGTTTGACCTCACTTGAACTGCCAAAGCTCAATGCTGCGGACTCTTGGGAGTTGTAGTTTGGTAGAAGACTCAAGACCTTGTAGAAATATAGTTGCTCATAGCATTACACCATGATAGTTAGAGGAGTCCCAAGGCCTTGTAACTCCCAGCATCCCTAGCATTGAGCCAGGGCTGTCGAAGTGGCATCAAACTGGCTTTGTTCTGCAGTGCAGATGCACCCAAGGACTGCTCCAATGCAAAAGTTATATGTTTCCACGGGTAATGGAAAACCCTATTGAAACAAAGGACTAAACCGTCCCCTTTCCTCCCCAAGTGGAAACGAGAGCAGCCTTCCTTCCTTCTCTGCTCTGCTGGGGACATTACAGCCCATTAAGTGGTGTGTAAAATATGGTAAACAGTTCCTCACTGCATGTTTTTTTTAAAATAAAGAACTCAGTTAAGTGGAGATCTAAGTAATTTTCCTTGTCAGAGCACTGGGCTGAAGCGCACTCTTTGGGGAGGAGGGAAGGCACTTTCATCTCCAGAGAGCAAGAGCGGAGCAAACGGATTGGACTGCATTGGGAGGCAGAGGAAGCCAGAAAGCGACCCCACTCCCTGTTTCCATCCCAAATTATGCAAATTGAGGCTTCGTTTGTTCCTTTGCCATCATCACATCCCTGCCATGGATCAGCAGCTCCCATTGACAGAACTGGAGCTTTCGCCTGAGGCTAAAGGCACCGCTGCCTTTCCTCCCAATGGCAGTTTCATATAAACGACTGGGATTATTTGTTGTTTTATTTTGGTTCTGCCAAATTCACATGGCTCTTCCAATGTAGGTGTACTACAGCTCCCACCATCCTGCGTCAGTTATCTCCCCCTAAACCCGAACAATATTTAAAGTTGGTCATGAGGAATATGTGGGCCAAGTTTAGTTCAGATCCATCTCCTGTGGGAATCATAGGGCTCTTTGTGGGTGAACTACAACTCCCATCATTCTGGGTCAGTCCCTTCCCCATTAAACCCCTCCAGTATTTTCTGTTGGTCATGTTGAGTATGTCTGCCATTTTGGTCTGGATCTGTCATCAGCATGTGGGTGAACTCCAACTCCCATCATCCTGGGTCCCCCCCCCCCCAAAGAAAAATCCCACCAGCATTTAATGTTGATTATGTTGAGTATGGCTGCCAAGTTTGGCCCAGATCCATTGTCAGTTGGATTCACAGTGCTCTCTGGATGTGGGTAAATGACAACTCCCATCATCCTGGGTCAGTTACCTACCAAACCCCTCCAGTTTTTTCTGTTGGTAATGTTGAGTATATGTGACATGTTTGGTCTGGATCCATCATCAGTGCTCTCTGAACATGGTGAACTACAACACTCATAATTCTTGGTCAGTTCCTTCCAAATCCCACCAGTATTTAATGCCGATTATTTATTTATTTATTTATTTACGGCATTTATATCCCATCCTTCTCACCCCAAAGGGGACTCAGGGTGGCTTTCAACTTTTGTGTTGATTATGTTGGGCATGCCTGCTAAGTTTGGCCCAGATCCATTGTCAGTTAGGTTCACAGTGCTCTCTGAATGTGAGTCTACGACAACCCTCATCATCCTGGGTCAACTCCCCAAAAAATACCTCCAGCATTTTCAGTTGGTAATGTAGAGTATGCCTGCCATGTCTGGTCCAGATCCATTTTTCAGTTGAGTTCACAGTGCTCTCTGGATGTGGGTGAACTACAACTCCCATCATCCTGGGTCAATTCCCCACCAAACCCCTCTAGTATTTTCGGTTAGTCATGTTGAACATGTGTGCCATGTTTGGTTCAGATCCATTGGCAACTTGGGCCCTGTTCAGAGAAGCGAGGGGCATCTTGATGTGGTACAAAGTGTGCCCGCTGATTGACTCCTGTCATCATCTCTTTAAAGTGTATTGTCTGACTAAGATCCCCTTGTGCCCCTTGACTTCTCCCCCTTGGCTCCAGGTTTAAGCTCTTGAGCCAGGAAGAAGGCGAGTACTTCAATGTTCCTGTCCCTCCAGAAGGCGAAGAAGGCAATGAAGAGCTCCGACAGAAGTTTGAGGTGAGCCAAAGGATCATCCTTTCCATGGCCAACATGGGGGTCCTCATAACTAGTAATAAGGGGAGGGAGTTGAGAACCAGCATGGGTTGCCTCCTGATATCCAGTATCCAGACATGAGAAGGGTCCAGTTGAAATGTATGGGGCTCACCAAGTCTCCTTGATGGCCAACACAAGATGGTCATCTCTCGAAAGGGTGAACCCAGATGATTTTCCATCTAGTAACCAAAGGAGATCAGTGGTCAGATGGATAGACAAAGCCCTCCTCCATTAGGAGGTCAAGTCATAGAGTCCTTTCCATTTAAGGTTCTTCTCCATGATGGTCATCTCTCGAAAGGGTGAGCCCAGATGGTGGTCCTCCATCCAGTGGCTAAGGTGAACCATTACGTAAAGATTGGTGTCCATGTGGAGAAGGACCTTCTGAGCACATAAAGCTCTTCTCCATTAGGAGGCCAAGTCATAAAATCCTGTCCAGTTAAGGTTCTTTCCATTGGGTCAAGAACCCTAATCAAACTGGGTGGGTATCTATGTGAAGGTGGAGCTTTCCTGCACATGGTGAATGTTTTCCCATGTATATGCTCCGCCAGAACCTCAATAGAAGGACTTCCACTGAAGATAGCTATCTCTCCAAATGGCATGCCTTCCATTGGCTAAAGTGGACCAATTGTGAGAATGGGTTTCCATCTGGAAAAGGATCTCTTTGGCCACAAAGTTCTCCTCCATTGGGAGGTCAGGTTGTGAGGTCCTGTCCAATTGAGGTTCTTCTCCATTGGTTAAGAATTCTGGTCAAGGTGGGTGGGTATCTATGTGAAGATGGATCCTTTATGCACATAGAGTGTGTTCTTCCATGGATATGGTCCATTAGAACATATACTGAAGGGATTTCCTGTGAGACAGAAACATGAGGTCCTGTATATTTGAGGTTCTTCTTCATCCGGTCGGTGTCAAGGTGAGTGTCCATGTGGTCCAAGCAGGTGATTGGGCCATTTTTATATGAAAGACTGAAGGCTTTGGGGACAACCCACCTTTCTGCTTTGCAGATGCAGCTGCATGGCTGAGCAATTGGCCTCTTCTTATTTTTTCCTCTTAATGGAATTTCATGCCAGGCTGAGCACAGCGCTGGCTCTGACAATGCGGCGACCCCCAGAAATTAAAAGGCATAAATTATGTGAGATCGCTATCTGCCTTTGCAATGCCTGCTGTCGGACAAATTGCACTCCAATAAATTAAGACCCGCACAGGCAGGAGGTGGTTTTGTGATTCTTTTGCCATTGGAAAGAGCATTAAAAAGCCAACCCAAATAGAACAAGTGCAGAATCCAAAGGGCCACTTTTGAAGTCTGGGGGAACCAGATAACTTTATGTCCTTGCATGCCCATTTTTCCCTCTCTAAATTGCCTATTGGTTATTTGGAGAATAAAATTGAACGTGCATGGATATAAAGCTATCACTTGCACTTTTCTGCAATCTCCCCTTTTATTTTAGAGAGCCAGATTTGGCCCCGGAGCAAAGGCCTCGGAGGAGCGGACCCCGAACGCCGTCTCCAAATTCGACAACAACAATGGCGCCCGCGACCGCATGAAGCTCTCCGACTTCAACTTCCTGATGGTCCTGGGCAAAGGCAGCTTCGGAAAGGCAAGCGGAAGAGACCATTTACACTCACCTAAAAGTGTTACCGTTGCCTTTGCATATGTTTGCCTTTGGATACAATGGCTCAGTGGTTTTCTTTACAAGAAAAGCAGTGCATAATTTTAGCAATTTTTCCTCGCACTATAGAGAAAAGACTTTTTGAAATCTTAGACATATTCAATGCATGTAGTTTTTGACACTGAAAGCAGTATTTTGCACTGAAAGCAAATTTGTGTTTCCTATGTAGAAATCCATGCAAAAAATCTGTATGTGAATTTTTGGTATGACTTCCATTGACTCTGAAGTGAACCTATCTCATCAGTGCAGAATCTTTCTTGTCCAACACCTGGGGACACACAGGTTGAGAACCACTGATCTATGAGGCATTACACCCTTTCCCCACCCAGATAAATGCCTTCTCACAGTAGACTTTGGGTCCCAGCTACTGCTGGACATTTTGAACATTCAAGAAACACATTTCCCAGTCATTTTCAGGCATGGAGTGAATCTATATTGTTGAATTAATGGAATTTGACATCACTTTTAACAGCCATGGTTCAGTACTATGGAACCCTGGGACTTGTAGTTTTGCAAGGTCTTTTGCCTTTACTGCCAAAGGATGGTAAACTCCCAGATTCCATAGTATTGAGCCATGGTGGTTAAAGTGGTGGCAAACTCTGTTGATTCTATTATGTAGACACACCCATGGACTCTTTTAAAACCTGGACTACAAAAAGGAGCTGTGAACACAGTCCAAGAAGGGAGGGTTTTAAAACTAGAGACTCAACAGATATGACTAATGATGAGCTAACAGTTCTCAAGTGGATCTGGAAACATAGGGTGCATCTAAACTGTAGAATTAACTCAGTTTGGCACCACTAATTCCCATGACTCCATGCAGTGGCTTGGTGAAGCTCCAGCACTCTTAAGGAATCTTGTAAAATTACAACTCCCATGAGCCATGGCAGTTAAACTGGTGTCACATTCATTCCACAGTGTAGATGCACTCCTAGAAACCTTTCTTGGACAATATTCTGGGTTGTTTTCAGGCTCCATATGAAGGGGATGTTGAATCTATTCTAGGTTTTAATTTGACTTTTTCTAAGATGGAGACCCTCAAAAATAGGTTCGGTGCCATGGTGAACTGCTTTAAAATTCAGATTTACTGCCTCGTTGGCATGGAAGTGACCACCCATCTCTGTGGATCCCATATTTTATTTCCAAAAACAGCATCGTTTGGAACAGACTTCAGCAGAGAACCTGAACAGTGCCAGGTTCTGCTGCCAGGTTCTGGCAGGTTTCCTTCCACCTGCAAGAATATTTTAGTCCTGGAAGCCAAAGCCAAAACCCCTGGAGCCTCACCTGGCGAAAAGCAATCCCTTCAACCTGGCATTTGCCTTCAGGCCCCTCTAATTCCAAATTGACTCGAAGGCACATAGCAATAACAAACAACCCCACTTTCCGACATGTTGGTGCATCTGTTTTTCCAATTACGTGCCTCTTTTTTCCATTTGCATTTTAAAAGAGGCACATTGTTCTATGCATAGTTTACCAGCCAGTGACACAAATTTGCAAATCAAAGTGTGCGCTTCCTCGCAGCAAACCTCCAGGGTGCAAAAGGAAAACTTGCATGGCATCCGTGGAAGCCAAGAAAATTTGCTTTCCACTCCTCATTCCTGGGATCTCGCGTGGGCTGAGGAAAAGAGTGGATCTCAGAACCATGGCTGCCTGCTGAGGGGCAAGCAGAATGGAGGCGGATGGGTGGCTTCCTTGCCAAACGTGGCTCGCTTTGTCCTGGCTGCCATCCAGAACCACTTCTCAGCAAGACACTGGGCCAAGCGTCTTAGATCCAGAAATGCTTCCAAGCGTTGCAGCAAAAGGTGTCCCCGGATTTATCAGTTTTGCTTTGATAGATAGATAGACCAATAGACAGACAGACAGACAGACTTATAGCTTCAACACCTGAAAACGTTTTCTGATCTTTGGAGAGCTTCAGTATAGATTTAGATACACTGAAAGAGAGAGGGAGGGAGGGAAAGAGGGAGGGAGGAATAAAGGAAGGAAGAAAGATTGAAAGAGAGAGATTTGGAGACACCTTTTGCTTCAATGCCTGAAAACATTTCCTGGTCTTTAGAAAGCTTCAATATAGATTTATATACAGGGAGGGGGGGGGAAGGAAGATAGATAGAAAGAAAGATAGAAAGATTTGGAGACAACTTTTGCTTCAACACTTGAAATTTTGTCTTGGTCTTAGGTAAGTTTCAATATAGATTTATTTTCACTGAGAGAGGGGGGGAGAGAGGGAGAAAGAAAGGAAGATGGAAAGAAAAAGGAAGATTTGGAGACACCTTTTGTTTTGACACCTGGAAACATTTCCTGGTCTTTGAAAATCATAGCTATAGTTTTAGAGTGAGTGAGAGAAAGAAGGAAAGAAAAGGAAGAATGGGAGGGAGGGATAGAGGAAGGAAGGAAGGAAGGAAGGAAGGAAGGAAGGAAGGAAGGAAGGAAGGAAGGAAGGAAGGAAGGAAGGACGGACGGAAGAAGATCTGGAGGCACCTTTTGCTTCAACACCTGAAAACATTTCCTGGTCTTTGGAAAGCTTCAGTATAGATTTCTATACACAGACAGAGGGAGAGGGAGAGAGAGAAAGAAAGATAGAAAGAGAAAGATTTGGAGACACATTTTGCTACAACACCTGAAAACATTTCCCGGTCTTTGGAAAACTTCAGTATAGATTTATATGTACAGAGAGAGGTAGAGAAGGAGGAAAAAAAGGAATGAATGAATGAATGAATGAATGAAGGAAGGAAGGAAGGAAGGAAGGAAGGAAGGAAGGAAGGGAAGTATGGGAGGGATAGAGGAAGGAAGGAAGGAAGGAAGGAAGGAAGGAAGGAAGGAAGGAAGGAAAGAAAGAAAGAAAGAAAGAAAGAAGGAAGGACGATCTGGAGGCACCTTTTGCTTCTATACCCGGAAATGTTTCCTAGCTTTTGGAAAGCTCATACATATAGAAAGATAAATAGAAAGAAATAAAAACTGGTCAATTTGGAGACACTTTTTGCTTCAACAACTGTAAACATTTCCAGATGATTGAGATTCTGATCTGTCCAAAGACTGCAATAGCAGCAGGGTCTCCATTGGCCCTTTTGTTGCCAACAACAGTTTTATGCAGCTGTGCCTTTTGCCTGGCAGAACGGAAAAGGGCTGCTGCGGGCAGGATTTGAGTCGGAAATTGAGGGATAAATTGGTGCTTGCCCTCCCAAGAGCTCCCTGGCTCTGACTCATGTGAGAACACAAGGGGAGGGGAACACGGTGGTGAGGAATAGAAAATATGTATAAGCATTAAAATATCAGTAGATGCCAAAAGTTAATGTCTGGTAGAGTGTAACGAATGTTATGCATCTGCTTTCAAACAGACGATGTATAACAAATCTATTGAATTATGATAAAATAAATACAAAAAGAGAGAGAGAACATAAGGGGAGCAAGTTGACTTTTTGAATATGTTGGTTTTTGGAGTGCAAAGCGAGTCAGCCGGAGGTGGGGGCCAACGTGTTTATTTCAGGATTAATCCCCCGCTGATTGAAGCCGTGGAGCGTCTTAATTGGCAAGGTGGCGGCGTTGGCGTGCCTTGATTAACTAGGCTGGCTCCAGCTCAGCGGAGTCAAGAAACCCATCCGCAGGTGGGCTCTTCAGAGGGGAGTTATCCCTGCAAGAGAGGAGCAGTGGGAGCACAATAATGGAGCACCATGTTTGCTCAGATATGTGCAGCCGAATGGGACCCAGGAACATTTCCCCAAATGGCAGCTCCATATTCTGAGCTTTCATGGGCCATTTCATGGAACCACAGAATTGGGACCCCCAAAGGCCATCCAGTTCAACCCCATCATACCAGGCAGAAATACACAATCCACACCCTCCCAACAGATTACCATCTTGCCTCTGTTTAAGGACCTCCTTAAACAGAGAATGCCTCACCATCCATTCCATCTTGAATGTTTCCATCTTGAAGATTCATAGAATCCTAGATTCTTATAGTTGGAATGGACTCTCAAAAGCCATCCAGTCCAACCCCCTTCTGACAGGCAGGAAAACACTACCCGATCCCTCCCGATAGATGTCCATCCAGCCTCTGTTTCAAAACCTCCAGAGAAGGAGATGCCAAGAGACTCCAAGACTGTTCTTCTAATGTTTTGGTGGAATCTCTTTTCCTGCCATTTGAATCCATTGTTCCATTGAGTCCTAGCTTCTTGAGCCTGTTCCTCAAGGGGGGATTTTTCCAGATGTTAAAACAAGGCTCTCGTGTCTTCTCGTAATGTTCTCTTCTCCAAGCTAAACATATCAAGCTCCATAAGCCGCTTCTCCAAGCAATCCATAGTTTCCAAATGTTTGACAATTTTGGTGGCCTTTCTCTGGCCACCTTCCATATTGTCTATCTCTGTCTTGCATTGTTTTGCCCAGAACTAGACACAGGTTTGCTATTCCAGGTGAGGTCTAACCCAAGCAGGATAGCCAAACTTTAATTCATGTGCCAAACGAGCAACATAAAAAGCATTTTTGCATCCAAAAATGAGGCCGAGAGGCATTCAACTCCAGGCCGAGTTTCACTACTGGTTCCATTATGCACCTTAGGAAGCATAAGGCTTGATGTTGAGTGCAGTGGCGGCTTAGTTTTGGCTTTATTCAACCTGGAGCCCTTTAAGCCTGAATGGCTCAAGGCACTCTAAGTGGCACCTGCAGCCTTCTCACCTGTTGGGCCTCTGTTTTCCCTCTTCCTACAGGTGATGCTCTCGGAGAGGAAAGGCACAGACGAGCTCTATGCCGTGAAGATCCTCAAGAAGGACGTGGTCATCCAGGACGACGACGTGGAGTGCACCATGGTGGAGAAGCGGGTCCTGGCGCTGGCCGGCAAGCCCCCTTTCCTGACCCAGCTCCACTCCTGCTTCCAGACCATGGTGAGGCCCCTTCTGGCCCAATATAGGGACCTAAAGCTTTGGCATTAGTGTCTCTATAGAATAAACCCCATGCATTGTGGTAGACATTGGACCCCAGATATTGGGATGGTTTGTCGGGGACTCCTATATCAATGGAATGGTGAATCTGCTCTGGGTTTTATTCCAAACATTATCACCGCTATCGTAGGTACACAACCTGCCTCTCAGCAAAAGCATTTAGGTCAATGGGGCAATGAAACTCGGCTTCAAAAAAGCGATCCTGGGTGTTTGTCCTTTACAATTTATCTTCACAGAGAAAGATGCATAAAGGATATGGGCTGCTTGGGAACTATAGATATTTAAGGGGAGAAAGGACCAGAAGAGGCCTCCTCTGTTGAAAGCTTTTACAGGCCAACATAAGGGCATCCCTTGGCAGAGAGTTCCACAGACTCTCTTAGTTTTACATCATATTGTTTTCTCACCCACTCGCTGAAAATTGCACACAAATCAAAACAAAACTCGTATGTTGTTGTACTACAAATCCCATCCGCTCCTATCCAATATGGAGGACTTTTGGGAGTTGTAGCACAAGGATACTTAGAGCTGAACTGTAAAGGAAGAGTACCCAAGAAGGTCAGATTCACTGCTACACTGACATAAGTGCCTTTTTTGCCAGATTATCTTTCTTGGATAGCAGTGATAATGTTTGGACTAAAACCCATAGTGGATCTACCACCCCACTGACATGGAAGCTCTTTGCAGAACCCTGAAATATCAGTGCCAGGTTCCTTGGGTGTCTCCTTTGCAAAACATGGAGATCTTGCACTGTGGTAGAACTCTTTTGAAGGGCCAGGTTGCATTATTTTTGAATTCCTGGCTCCGAACGAATGCAACTGGGGCCTTTTTGCAAATGGAGCAGCCATTGGGGTCCCAAGGGGAATGCATTTGTGCTCGATGGAGCCTCCTTCCCATCCTGCGAAGTGTGTTGGCAGAGGATTAGCTGTCCTGTGGCTTAGCACTAATCGCACGGAGGACGCAATAATCGTAAAAATGTGCAGCGGAGGGTATTAACGCATACTCGTTTTGGAGAAGCGCTGCCTGCGATTTTCCATTTTTCAGCCGGGAAAGAAAATCTCCCATCTCAAAGAGGAGAGAGAGAGAGAATTAACTGGAGGCCCAGGTGTGTTCAGCTTCGCTCCGTGACCCCAATGAAGGAGAGCGGATTAAGCGTCTCCTTCGGGTCCCCTTCCACACAGGAAACACAAATATAAGAGGTGACGCAATTGCCCTAACTTTCATAGGGAGTTTGGCTCCATCTGCATGGAATTTCTGCATCCTAGGGATAATACTAACAATGGGAAGGAGATAGGACCCTGGAGATCTCTTTTAGGGCCTGTGTTAAAGCCTGTCGTGGACTCACCGTTCTGTTGAAACGGAGGGCGCCAGACTTTACAATCAAAATGCACAAAAGCCCATGCAAAAGTTAACCTGTTTGTCTGCAAAAACCCATGTAGAATCGGATCTGTCCCTCTTAAAGATGCTACTCCAAATCTTGGAGAACAATGTATATTTGAAAATAAAGGACAAGTTCCCCGTCATTTTGGATAGTTTAATGCACAACTGGTTGTGCTCAGCTGCAGTTTTAGTACAGGAAAACGTACCTGGAATTATTATTCTTATGTTTATTTGTATTGAAGTCAACATCAAGCAATGCAATGGCGTTTCCGTCACATTAAGTAATGCTTAGACTTTTGTAGCATTTTTTAAAATGTTGTGAACTGTTTTGAGTCTCAATCAAAGAGATAAAAGCAGGATATCATTGTCAGGAGGAGAAGGGAAATAAAGYAAAGAAGACGGGGAYGGAGGGAGGGAGGGAGGGAAAATGAGGGAAAGAAAAGAAAGAAGGAGAAAGGAAAGGAGAAAGAAGGGAGAGAGGAAGGAAAGAAAAAGGAGGGAAGGAATGAAAAGGAAGGAAGGGAGAGGGGCAATTAAAAAGGGAGGGAGAGGAGGGAGGAAGGAAAGAGGTGAAAAGGAGAAAGGAAGGGAAGAAGAAGGATGGGTTGGAAGGAGAAGAAAGAAAAAGYGGGAGGAAGGAAAGAGAAGAGAAGAAGGGAAATAAAGGAAAGGAGAAGGAAGAAAGAATGGGATGGAGAAAGAAAGAAAGAAAGAAAGAAAGAAAGAAAGAAAGAAAGAAAGAAGAAAGGAAGAAAGAGGAAAAGGGGTGAGGGAAGAGTAGGAAAGAAAGAGAAAGAAGGGATGAATGCACAAGGCAGCCAGGAATATAAGATGGTGGTGATGATGACGAAGATGATTATGATACTTGTGGTATTTTTACAATGTTTATGTATTTTAATTACTCTGTCATCTGCCTTGAGCCATGAGGAGAGGCAGGTGAAAAATAAAGTTGTTGTTGTTGTTGTTGTTGTTGTTGTTGTTGTTGTTGTTGTTGTGTTATTTCCATTCAAAACCAGACCTGCACAACTATCTCCTTGCAATGTTGCAATTCTCTGTGTCTCTCTCTTCTCTTCCCTCCTTTAGGATCGCTTGTATTTTGTGATGGAGTATGTGAACGGCGGGGACCTTATGTACCAGATCCAGCAGGTTGGGCGGTTCAAGGAGCCCCATGCCGTGTAAGTGCTTCCCCTGCCCTTCCCGGTCTCTCTTAAGGGATCCCCAGGGAAGGAGGCATGGGGGAAATGGCTTGGCAGCCCTCATGTTTCCTCCCTTTGGGTTCCTTTCCCTTATAATCAGACCCTGGAGTGCCTCGCTGTCATGAATCCCCCGATCAGCCTTCTTTCTCCTTTCCCCCAAATCTTTTAATTCCAGGTTCTACGCCGCAGAGATTGCCATTGGGTTGTTCTTCTTGCACAGCAAAGGAATAATTTATCGGTAAGTGGCTCCTTTCCACCGCTCCAGGCAGCATCAACATAAAATAAGTAAATAAGTAAACAACGAGTAAATAAAACACGGAAAGTAATGTGGTGGTTTTTTTCAAAGGCTCGGGGATGTCAGTGCCAACATCCCACATCAAGCAGATAGATTTGTTATCTGTCTTGACGGTGAGTCTTTCAAGCAGCCATTGCAAAAACCCAGAATTAGTCCAAAGGAAACAGAATCCGAATCACTAACTGATGCAGATATTTAGTTGGCAAAAAACCCCCCAAAAAACAAAAACAAAAACAACTGTATTTGGGAACATTTTAGGATGATTTTCCTCCACCTAAAATCTCACAAACAGCCTGGACTCAGGCCTATGTAAGTCCAAGATGCCTCTGTATTGTAGAATCAGGGCAGTTTGGCCCCACTTTAACTGCCATGGCTCAATGCTATGGGATCCTGGGAGTTGTAGTTTGCAGAGGCAAACTTGGACCGAGAAGGCCTTGTAAAGCTGACACTCCCAGGATCCCATAGGAGTTACAGCAGTGCCAAACTGCTGTAACTCGATGCACCCAGAGAAAACTCAATACCTTGTTAAACTACAAATCCCAGGATCCCATCTCATTGAGCCATGGCTATTGTTGTTGTTGTTTCTGCTGCTGCTGCTATTTATAACCCACTTTATATCTCCCAAAGGAGATTCAGTATAGATGCACTCAGAGAAAACTCAAGAGCTTGGTAAACTACAAATCCCAAGATCCCATCTCATTAAGCCATGGCTGTTGTTGTTGTTGTTGTTATTTATAACCCACTTTGTCTCTCCCAAAGGAGACTCAGTATAGATGCATCCAGAAGAAACTCAAGATCTTGGTAAACTACAAATCCCAGGATCCCATTGAATTGAGTTGTGGATATTATTATAATTATTATAACTTTATTTGTACCCCGCTAGCATCTCCCACAGGATTCGATGCGGCTCACAATAGGCCGAAGCCCAACACAATACAACAATACAATATCTAGCAAATAAAAACAGTTAAGCAGAAAAACAATAACAATAGCAATACGACAAGACATTATTAAAAACTGAGTCGGCCGGAGTAGGGGTACAAGGTTAAAAGTGCTGATGTATCGGAGGGGTGTGGGATTATGATATAAGTGCGGTGTGCAGTGTGCAGTGATTTGGTACTAAAGTGCTTCTGGGATTTGGTAGTGGGAGATTCCTAATCTGTAAAGGCACATTGGAACAGCCAGGTTTTCAAATTCTTTCTGAAGACTGCCAGTGTAGGGGCTTGTCTGAGATCTTTCGGGAGGGCGTTCCAGAGGATTGGGATCAAAATAGATTGGATCAAAATCTATCTATCAGAGGATTGGGATCAAACTGCATTCATTCTACAGGTCAAATCCATGAAGAGAAGGGTCATAGCTTTGGAACACTACAAATCCCATGATTCTATAGCATGGGGTCAGACTGCATTCCTTTGCCAGAAAGGTCCTGATCTGCCTAACTGGACTTATGGTGAAATTTCAACTCAGGACACATTTTAAAATGTATAAATTGCTAGTTGCCATAGATGGCTATTTATACGATATTCTTCTCCTTCTCTCTGTGTTTTAAACCCTGCAGCGACCTGAAGTTGGACAACGTGATGCTGGACTCCGAAGGGCACATCAAGATCGCCGACTTTGGCATGTGCAAGGAGAACATCTGGGACGGGGTCACCACCAAGACCTTCTGCGGCACTCCGGACTACATTGCACCCGAGGTCAGAGAGAGAGAGAGAGAGAGATGCATATACATACACACACACAACACACACATGCACAAATCCCTTTGGCTTCTGCTTTTACCCCAAACTCTTGGGGTGAGTAAAGACTGCCCAACCTTCCAGACTACAAAAGTTTGGATATCTGAATGTTGTGGAAACATAGAGGTGGAAGGGATCCTCAAAGGCCATCTAGTCCAACCCTCCCCCAAATAGAGAGCTGACAAAAAAATGTCCTTCTTGGAATTACAACTTCCAGGATCCCATCACATTGAGCCATGGCAGTTAAAGTGGAGTCAAACTCTTTTTATGGAATCTTGGGGGAGGATGACAGGGAATAACAACAACAACAACATCCACAACAACAACAAATACAATTGTATTACCCACTTGATGATAATAATAATAATAACTTTATTACTCACATTATGATAGTAATAAGTATTATCCACATAATAATAATAATAATAACAATAATAATAATAATTTATTACACAAATGATGATGGTGATGATAAGTATTTTTATTACCCACATGATCATGATAATACATTATTATTATTATTATTATTATTATTATTATTATTATTATTATTATTTGGTAATACAGATATAATCATATAGGTAATAAAATACATATTATTTTCATCATCATTTGGGTAATAAATTATTATTATTATTATTATTATTATTATTATTTGAAACACAACAGGATGAGTGCACACTACACAGCAAACAAGATCACTATACTGGCTGTTGTATTGGATCACATGTCGAACACTTCTCAAATGTCTAAGACTGTGTGATGTATCGGAGAGTAATGTGTGCAGATCAGAGTAGGGTGGCCTTTTGCAGCTGACAGATAGTAATTTTGTCAGTGCCGATTGTGTTTAAGTGCAGGCCAAGGTCTTTAGGCACTGCACACAGTGTGCCGATCACCACTGAGACCACTTTGACTAGCTTGTGCCAGAGTCTTTGCAGTTTGATCTTTAAAGCTTCATATTGTGTCGGCTTTTCCAATTGTTTCTTTTCAATCCTGCTATGTCTACTCACCCCAAGAGTTTGGGGGAAAGCAAAAGCCAAAGGGATTATTATTATTATTATTATTATTATTATTATTATTATTATTATTTGGATAATACAATATTATTCTTCACATGATCATGATAATACAATTGCCCACATTATTATTGTTGTTTTATTATCCACATGATGATGATGCAAAATATTTTTATAATCCACATGATGATGATAATATTTCCCGCCTCTCCTTGTGGCTCGGGATACAACAGTACAATAAAGCAGCGATAGGAAACATTACCAGGCCAATTAGATTAGACACAGATGATCAAGACAGTTTTAAACAGTGTATTTTAATATTGAGACAAATATTTTTTAATGTTTATGTATGCATATAATGAATTCTTGTCCCAGCATTGAATGTTTGCCGTATACATGCTGGGCTCCACCCTGAGTCCCCTTTGGGGTGAGAAGGGTGGAATATAAATCTATATAAATACAAATGTAATTCTTGTTTGTGGGATTAACAGAACTCAAAAACCACTAGGGGAACTGACACCAAATTTGGACAGCATATACCTAACAACCCAATGTATGTCCTTCACTCAAAAAAAGTTAGTTTGTCATTTGGGAGTTGTAATTGCTGGGATTTATAGTTCACCTAAAATCAAAGAGCATTCTGAACTCCACCAATGATGGAATTGAACCAAACTTGGCACACAGGACTCCCCTGACCAACAGAAAACACTTGAAGGGTTTAGTGGGCATTGACCTTGAGTTTGGGAGTTGTAGTTCACCTACATCCAGAGAGCACTGTGGACTCAAACAATGATGGATCTGGATCAAACTTGGCACGAATATTCCATATGCCCAAATATGGACACAGATGGAGTTTGGGGAAAATAGACCTTGGCATTTGGGAGTTGTAGTTACTGGGATTAATAGTTCACCTACAATCAAAGAGCATGCTGAACCCCACAAACAATAGAATTGGGGCAAACTTTCCACACAGAACCCACATGATCAACAGAAAGTACTTAAGGCCATCCAATTCCCTTGACGACGCGAGAAAACATAATCAAAGCCCTCCTGACAAAGAGCCATCCAGCCATAGATATAGATAGATAGATATGATTCACACACAGATATAGTATCATAGATTTGAAAGGGATCCCTAAAGAAGGACAATGATATGCTGCATGTTCCAGAGTAGCCACATCAACACTGACAAAGAAACAGCAAGAAATACTGTTTACCCACAAGCATCAAGATATTACATAGATTAGAAACCAACACTTTCTCATTACTTTATTTTCCAGATCAACAGACTGGGCCACAGCAATGCGGGGCAGGGGACGGCTAGTGCTATAAATAAATAAATAAATGGATTAAAACAGAGCAATCAACACACAATGCATGTTATAATACATACAACAAAATGCACACAAGGGCACACCAATAGAGTGCAGGTTGGAATTCACAAGTTACAATTCTCGAATCCTACTGAAACTGCAACTAGTAAGATCCCACCCATTGTTAAAGTGGTGCCCAGCAGCATGCCTTATTTCAGAGCAGCATTGCCTTCCCTTGAGGCTGTGTGACTTGCTCCTTCAGTGGTTGAGTGCAGGATTTGAACCCTGCTCCTCAACCATGCTGGCCTTTTCCTGCTGCTCTCTTGCCATCTTTCCTAAATGAATATCAGCCCCTGGCAGCACCTTCCCCTCCCTGGCTGCCTGCAAATGCCGAACCGTTTTGCGTGCTCCTCCTTCTCGGAGGGAGACATTTAATTACTGGCCCTAATGTGCCTTGCTTTCCCTCGTTCTGCCAAGATTATTAATGCGGGAAACCTGCCATGATGGATGCGCTCTCAGAGCTGGAAAAATGCCCAGTTGCCTTTCTCTCCTGCGCCAAGAAACCCATTGCGTTCCATTCAATCCCTTGCAACAAAACGGGCATCTGCCTTGAATGCTGGTTCGTTCCCAGTGCTATGCAATACTGGGAGTTGTAGACTGCACTCTTTGGCAAAGGAGGCCCAAGGCCTTGCAGAGTTGCAGCTCCTCGGATTCTATAACATTGAGCTAATTAAAGTGGTATCGAACTGCGTTAATTTGACAGTGTAGATGAGATTGCAGACAAGGAGAGCATGGTGCCACTTTTGGAGACACTCAAAACCCACTTTCTGGACCCTAAAAATACCCCATATTTGGACACATCTGGCACAATTTTGCAGCAATGTTTGCCCCCAGATTGATCCAGGAAGCCAAAATGCATGCAGGGATGTAATAATAATAATAACCGTGTCTTCCCAACAGGAAAGGGGCACACAAAAGCAGCAACAAATCAGTTCAAGTATTGTAGGATAAACCTAGTTTTCAGGGAAGGGGCAGAAGTCAACCATAAGGGAAGGAAATGTGTCTTTTCGGGGCTCTTTGCTCAGAGCCCAAGGCATCGCCATCTGTTCCTTAATGCAAAACCATTACGCAGTTTATTCATCCTAATTAGGGATTTCTGTTTGGGGGAAGATTCATATATATTCAGACGTAAATGCAAATGCAACTGCAGTAAAGCAGAGGCTCTGTCAATGCTGTGAGATCCTGGGAGTGAAGTAACGTTGGCAGCAAAAGACCTTGCAAAACTACAACTCTCAGGACCCCACAGCCTTGAGCCACAGTGGTTCAAGCGGGGTCAAATTGCAACAACACTCCAATGAAGATGCACCTTAGAAACAATCCAGAGTAGCAACCAGATCTTGGAGTTTGGACATTGGAATGCAACCTGTTACCTCTAACTAGTGCATGCTTGCAGTCATAATATTAATGCATAGAAGGCACTGTGTTGCTTCTTCACTGATGCATTTCTGGAGTAATAATATTAAGGCATAGAAGACAATCTATTACTTCTAATTGGTGCATTTCTGGAGTATCAATATTAATGCATAGAAAGCAATGTGTTACTTCCTAACTGATGCATTTCTGGAGTAATAATATTAATGCACAGAAGGCAGCCTATTCTGACTGATGCATTCCTGGAGTACTAATATTAATGCATAGAAAGCAATGTGTTGCTTCTTAACTGGTGCATTTCTGGAATGATCATATTAAAGCATAGAAGGCAATGTTTTGCATCTAAGCGATACATTTAATATAAGTGCAGCAATAATATTAATGCATGGAGCAATGGGACTGGACATCCCCTTCCCCACAACAACAACAACAACAACAACAATAACAACATGGCTCCCTGGTGCTCACCCTGGCCCACTCCTGTACCATTGGCCTTAAAATCCTTCCAAACTGAGCTACAGATCTCTCTGTGTGCCTTTCCTCTTTTGCCTCCTGCTTCCTCATCCTGCTCTCCTTTGGCGCAACTCGCCTTGTGTCTCTTGCAGATAATCGCTTATCAGCCCTATGGGAAATCAGTGGATTGGTGGGCCTTTGGCGTCCTGCTCTACGAAATGCTGGCCGGGCAGGTAACTAAAGTGGCTTTTTATGAAGTTTGCATTGGGTTTTTTGGAGGCTGGGAGAGAAGGTTTTTTTGCATGGATTTTGCTGGTGGCATGTAGGGCAGACAGGCTATTATTATTATTATTATTATTATTATTATTATTGTGAAATATTTTATTAGGCTATTGTTTTTGTGAAATTGTTATTCTATTATTATTGTGCAATATTATGCAGTTACATTATTAGGCTACTGTTATTATGTGATTGTTATTCATTATTGTTGTTGTTGTTGTTAATAACTTATGTACCCGGTGAAGTATGAGTTATGCATTTTGAAATGTTATTTATTAGAAGTAGTTCTTGTTTGGTTTTGGGCTGCATGAATGGCCTTAACGGGAAATGCATAGAGATTATTATTAGGTTGTTGTTATTATTATTATTATGCAATTGTATTATTAGGCTATTGTTACTGTGTAAGTGTTATATTATTATTATTATTATTATTATTATTATTATTATTATTATTATTATTATTATTAGTTTAAGCAGCTGAGGGGGAAAAGGAAGTGTCCTGAGGGTGTGAGGAATTGGGCCCAAGTTTGCCCATGCCTGCTATAGAAGGTGCTGAAGCTATTTCAGAATTCAGCACCATGGACAGTCAACCCCCCCCCCCCCCACACACACACACACACACACAATACAAAATTGAAACTGAAAAAAGATCCTATATAACCCAGTACAGAGTCCCGTCCCAAAAGGATGGCACCACCAAGATGCCTCTCAATCCTGTTTCCCCGTGACTTTTGGGGCCTCCGTCAAACAGAAGAGTGGCAACAGACCTAAATGACTGTCTCTTTAAAAAGGTCCGTTTTTCCTCCAGGCCCCCTTCGAAGGTGAGGATGAAGATGAACTCTTCCAGTCCATCATGGAACACAACGTGGCCTACCCCAAATCCATGAGCAAGGAAGCGGTGGCCATCTGCAAAGGGGTGAGTGCTGAATGGGTGTGTGTGTGTGTGTGTGTGTGTTATTCCCATTCTTGCTGGCCTTAATTCTCCTTTAAAGGCATGTTTTCCTAGCGCTAGATCCTTGAGCGTGTCCAAAGCCTCCAGAGACTTGTGTGGTTTCTTGGGGAGGCTCAAGTGCTCCTCCATAACCCATTCTCCTCAAAATAATACCAAATGCCGAAACCCAATCTCTGCATGTATTTTTATTTATAAACCACCATCCAGTGCGTCTCTCACCCTTCTTGAGGTTTGGGGTAAATAATTGAGGCAGATTTCAAGAGTCTGGCATTATTGTGTCAAAAGACAGGGAAAGTGAGCCACATGTGGCCCCCAAATCCCCCTTTAAAAACCCTGTAAGACTCAACTGAGATTTAGGTGGTTTGCATGCATTATTATTTGGTTGTTTTGCATCCATTATTTTTTTTTGGTGGCTTGCATGCAAATTTGGGATGGTTTGCATGCATTATTTGGATGGTTTGTGTACATTATTTGGATGATTTGCATTCATTACTATTTTGTTGGTGTGCATCCATTATTTTGGTGGCTTGTATGCATTTTTAGGTGGTTTGCATGCATTATCTGTGTAGTTTGTGTACATCATTTTGATGGTTTGCATACATTATTATTTTGATGGCTTGCATTCAATTTTTGGGTGGTTTGCATGCATTCTTTGGGTGTATTGTCGAAGGCTTTCATGGCTGGAATCACTGGGTTGTTGTAGGTTTTTTCGGGCTATATGGCCATAGTCTAGAGGCATTCTCTCCTGACGTTTCGCCTGCATCTATGGCAAGCATCCTTTGAGGATGCTTGCCATAGATGCAGGCGAAAGGTCAGGAGAAAATGCCTCTAGACCATGGCCACATAGCCCGAAAAAACCTACAACAACCCAATTTTTTGGGTGGTTTGTGTACATTATTTTGGTGCCTTGCATGCACTATTATTTGGTTGGTTTGCATCCATTATTATTTCAGTGGTTTGCATGCATTTTTGGTGATTGTATGCATTTTTGGGTGACAGGAAGGCAAGCAATGTTGCACCCAACACATTGCAACATATTGCTATAATCTACAGAGAGAAATGTGGCCCACTTCAGAGCTTCAGAGAGGGATCCATTTCCTTTCCGCCTTATTTCCTTCCTCCTCCATTCCAAGCAGAACGCCACAAATTGCCAAGGGAGAAGAAATGATTAAAACATCTGCTGGATTATCTTATTTTTTAATGGATTCGTTTCCCTTGCTCATGGCAAATCCCGAGGCTGGATGGAAATGAATCGAAGCAGAAGTAAATTTGGAGATGAGCCCAAGCTGTTCTGGACATTTCCTTGTTCCCCTTCTATATTTTGTGCAGAAGAAAGCACACGTCCAAACAGGCCAAAATCCTGTTCGCAGGTCTGCTAGACCTGTGGAACTGTGACTACATTGTTCTGGAAGGAAAAGTCCTTTGGAAAGGAAGGAAAGCAGTTGTGATAAGTTCACCATAATGACTTGAAGGTTCACAACCTCAATAATATGGCACACTGTTTATATATATGTGTGTGTGTGTGTGTGTGTGTGTGTGTGTGTGTGTGTTTAAGCCTTGACCACAAACAGGGACATATCATCAACTGTCAAGATGGAGTTCATCAGACTCCTAAAACAGATCAGCAAACAGCTGGATGATTAAGTTTAATATTACATCAGTTTCCTAAGCTGGCAAGAGTCCTGATTTGGGGAGAAATGCAGATTATTATTATTATTATTGTTATTGTTATTATTGTTATTGTTATTGTTACAATAATTATATAAATATATGTAATAAAATATAATGTAATAAATATAATAAATGTTTAAAAATAATAAATATAATGATAAATACGTAATAAATATATAAAACAATTAAATGTATAATAATAAAATACATAATAGTAATAATAATAAATATAAATAAAGTATTGTTATAATAAATATTTAATAAATATATAAAACAATTAAATGTATAATAATAATAAAAATTATTATTCTTTGGAGGCTTTTAAACAGAAGCTGGATGGCCATCTGTTGAGGGTGCTTTGAATGCGATTTTCCTGCTTCTTAGCATGGGGTTGGGCTGGATGACCCATGAGGTCTCTTCCAACTCTATGAATCTATGGTTCTAATATATAATAGTAATAATAAAAATATAATAATATAATATATAGTAAATATACAAAAAGAGAAGAAAGAAGAACCAAACTGATTGTAAACACTGATGTTGATGGCAGTGGTATTGTGCAGATGGGCAACATAACGCAACCACTATTTAACATCACAAGTGTAAATGTACCCTTTGCACACACAAAAAGCACCACGGAGGTGCACTTATCTTTGCAAAAAGCACTGATCTCTCTTCTTTTGAAGCTGCAAGGAGATGCAGTGTTTTTCTCCCCCCGAAGCACTTGGCTGAACCCTGTCAGCGGCCGGCACTGTCGGAAAAGGGCAGAGAGGGCTCCTTAATGAGCTGCCCATCTGGACGATTGGCCTTTATGGGGCATTTCCTCCCCCCCCCCCCCTCATGCCCTTTCGGTCTCTTGGCAGATGGCTAAAAAGCACTGAGATCCCTGAGATGGCTAAAAAAGCACTGAGGAACCTTTGGTTGTGCATTTGCTTTGGCATTGGCTCAGTTGATTGGTTATACTGGTTTTGTTGCACCTCGCAGAAAGATCTTTGGGTACAGGACAGCATATTGATGTTTCAGTGGATAAATAATGAATGAATAAATAAAGCCTGGGCAAAGGAAGGAGTCTTGTTTGGCCCTCCCTTTGCTGTATCTCTCTTTGGCATCCGTTCCCGCTGCCTCTTATCTTGGAAACGGAGGGATAGGATATTGCACCCTCTCCTCCTCCCCATCTTCTCCTATTGCTTTCACATTCGGATGATAAACGGCAACTGTGTGCGTGTCCTTCTCTGCCTTGCGGTTTCATTAACCCAAACTGGACGTTTCTCTCCAGCATTCGGTGTTAATGAAACAGAGATTGTTTTTGCGTCTCTGTAAATAGCATGCCAGCCAAAGCACTTCATTGCTTTCCTTCTCTCAGGTGGGGTTTGGGAGAGGTTTTCCTCCAAGTGCAATCAATCCTCTGCATTTGTAGGGTTTGCTTTTGGATTAATAAGGTCTCTTTAGGAATCTTTGATTCTAAGACTAGCATCTGCCATAAAGATGAGTCTTATTTTGTTTGCAATTTTCCCCATTTTTGCAGGGCCGGCATTGGACTAACACCCACTGAATAAGCTGTGTTGACCAGGCATTTTCATGGGGTCTATAGAATGGTTTTAAAGCCTTTATTTAGCTTAGTTGTACTAATTGTATCCAGTGTTTCTTGCACATGGGTGACTTTCCCTCCTGTTTATTTCACGGAGAAAACCTTGCAGCCCAATGCAACAGAGTTGAGGCTAGTCCCTATGCTTTCTATTAGGCATGCAAACAATACTTGCAACATGTGTTGCTGAAGGATTTTATGGCCAGAATCATTGGGTTGCTTTGAGTTTTTCAGGCTGTATGGTCATGTTCCAGTAGCATTCTCTCCTGACATTTCATCTGCATCTGTGGCTAATGGCATCCTCAGAAGTTCTGTTGGCAGTATTTGTGTGTGTGTGTGTCAGGAGCAACTTGAGAAACTGCAAGTTGCTTCTGGTGGGAGAGAATTGGCCATCTGCAAAGATGTTGCCCAGGGAATGCCTGATGTTTTACCATCCTGTGGGAGGCTTCTCTCATGCCCCCCCCCAAGGGAAGCTGGGGCTGACAGACAGGAGCTCACCACACTCCCCGGATTCAAACTGCCGACCTTTCAGTCAGCAGTCACAAAGGTTTCAGTCACAAGGGTTTAACCCATTTTGCCACCTGGGCTGCTCTGTTGACAGTGAAGCAAGTGGAGTGTATATATATCTATGGAATGTTCAAAGTGGGAGAAAGAACCCTTTTCTGTTCAAAGCAAGTGTGATTGTTGCAATTAGCAAGCTTGAATAGCACTGAGTAGCCATGAAGCTGCAAAGTCAATCAGTGAGGGTATCTGCATAGAGGTAGCATGGCCTCTGTTGCCTGAATGCACCTCTGTTTGGGAGGTGTAAGCTGGCATTTGACTGTTTGCTGATGGATCAACCTGGACATCGAATATTATTTGAGAACACAGAAGATCAGTCTGACAACCATTATATCAGACTACACAGAGAAACCTTTGAAATCCACAAGCATGTGGACAAGTTCAACAGAAAGGGGAAAATCATGAAAATGAACGAAATCTGTTTAGCAGTATTAAAAAGCGCCAGAATCAAGACAGTAAATAAAGAACGCCACTCAGAAGCAGGAAAACTCCAGGCAGCAAACAATCAAGTGCCAGTTAACACTTTCCAAACAGAGGATGCTGCCAGGCAACAGCAGCCAGGCTACCTCTATACAAATACACTCATTGATTGACTTTGCAGCTTCAAGGCTACTCAATGCTATTCAAGCTTGCTAATTACAACATTCTCACTTTCTTTAAACAGACAAGGGTTCTTTCTTCATAGAATCAAAGAGTTGGAAGAGACCTCATGGGCCATCCAGTCCAACCCCCTGCCGAGAAGCAGGAATATTGCATTCAAAGCAACCCCGACAGATGACCATCCAGCCTCTGTTTAAAAGTTTCCAAAGAAGGAGCCTCCACCACACTCCGGGGCAGAGAGTTCCACTGCTGAACGGCTCTCACAGTCAGGACGTTCTTCCTAATGTTTAGATGGAATCTCCTTTCTTGTAGTTTGAAGCCATTGTTCCGGATCCTAGTCTCCAGGGAAGCAGAAAACAAGCTTGCTCCTCCCTGTGACTTCCTCTGACATATTTATATATGGCTATCATATCTCCTCTCAGCCTTCTCTTCTTCAGGCTAAACATGCCCAGCTCTTTAAACTGCTCTTCATAGGGCTTGTTCTCCAGACCCTTGATCATTTTAGTTGCCCTCCTCTGGACTGTCGCCCTCCTCTGGACTAAGGAGGGCGACTTCCACCTTGAACATTTCACAGGTTGATTGATAGATAGATTAGATATACATATTCCTCTTGCCTCACATCCAACAAGCCTCTGAGGATGCTTGCCACAGATGCAGGCAAAATGTCAGGAGAGAATGCTGCTGGAACATGGCCATACAGCCCGAAAAACTCACAGCAATCCAGCAGTTCTGGCCATGGAAGCCTTCAACAACACAATACTTGCAAGTGTTCTCCTTGGGTTGCATCTGCACTGGAGAATGTATGCAGCTTGACACCACTTAGATGGCTATGGACCAATGCGATGGGATCTTGGGAATTGTAGTATTGCAAGCCTTCCATGCCAGAAGAGTGTAAACTACAACTCCCAGGGTTCCATTGCATGAAGCCATAGCAGTTAAGGGTGGTATAAAACTGCATTAATTCTGCAGTGTGGATGCACCCCAAAAGTCTTCTGGAATCTTGCCCAAGATGGAGGAAACTTGGCAAGACAGGAATGGACAAAGCTTTGTATCCATGTTTTGTATTATTAGAGTCGCGGAGGAGAAAGAAGAAGAAAACATGGAGGAGAATGAGGGTGAGGAGGGGCTCTGGAGAGACACATAATTAGAAGGGACTCCTAAAGGACATTTAGTCCAACCCCTTCAGCCAGGCAAGAAGACACAGCCAAAGCACCCCAGACAGATGGCCATTTGGTCTGTTTAAAAACTTCCAGAGAGTTTTGATCATTACAGAAAAGGTGTGCTGATGCTGGATAAATGTAGGAAATGTTTAAAGTTTTATACTGTACTTTGTTGATCAAGTTGCAGTAATTACCACTAAAATGGACGAGTTTCTAGTTAAGAAAATAAAATCTGTTGAAAATGATGTTTGTGATTAACCCCATGGAGTGACTGCAGAGGAAATGACACAAGAATGTACTTTGCACAGTAAAGATGGCATGAAACATATACCAATCTATAATATAATATAATCTATATCGAAACACATAATAAAAGTGAAAAAATGATGTATGCCTGTGGCTGGTGTGTCCATTTACACAGATAGCCTCCCACTTCCATGAATAGCCATAGTTCCCATTACTCAAGAGACACCGAAGACTCTCCCTCCAATGACACTGAAGGTTATAGAGAGCACAATAAACATGTACAAGAGCCCTGCCAACGTCCTCCACAAACACCATACTGCCCACCATCCAAGTGAAGGCTTTCATTCGGAGACAATTTCATCCTAGATTTTATGTATTTCCTCCACCACAGACATCCCAGTATTTCTGACTCTCTCCATTGGTGTGGAATTTACATGACCACTTCCTCTCCCTTTCCTATGGAACACAGCAAACAAAGGAATTGATCAGCAACTGAACATACTACAGCGGTTTGGGGAGAATTAACCATGATTTATAGGAGTTGTAGATACTGGGATGTATCGTTCACCTGCAATCTAAGAGCACTCTGAACTCCACCAACAATGGACCTGGAACTATCTTGGCACACAGAGCCCCCATGACCAATAGAACATACTGGAACTCTTTGGGGGAATTTCATCTTGATTTGGGGGAGTTGTAGTTCACCCAAACACTGATGGATCTGGACCAAACTTGGCACACAGACCTGATATGCTGAAATTTGATTACCGGAGGGTTTTTTTTTTTGGGTGTGGTGGGGTGAACTGACCTTCTTTTCTGGGAGTGGTAGTTCACCCTCAACCAGAGAAACTGTGACCTCCACCGATGATGGACCTGGATCAAATGTGGCACACAGAACCCTTGTGACTAACTCACAAGGGAGGGGGTTGAGGCGACTGACTCACCATAGTGGGAGTTGTAGTTCATCCTGTAAGCCAGAGAGCACACTAAACCCCAGCAACCATGCATCGAGAGCAAACTGGCCCAACATAACAAACTTTATTTACTGATGTAGTTTCTCGGGGTTAATCTGGCATGATGTGAGTTGTAGTTCACCCACAACCTTATGCATTTTTGTACAATTAAAATTTTGACTTTTTCAAATAACCCAGGCATTGTCGGGTACCCAAGCTAGGTATTATAATATAATATAATATAATATAATATAATATAGGAGCCCCCAGTGGTGCAGTGGGTTAAACCACTGCACTACTGAGGTCACAGGTTCAAAGCCGGGAGTGGCATGAGTTTCCTCTGTCAGCACCAGCATCTGCCAACTTAGCAGTTCGAAAACATGCAAATGTGAGTAGATCAATAGGTACCACTGCTACAGGAAGGTAACGGCATTTCATGCAGTCATGCCGGCCACATGACCTTGGAGGTGTCTACAGACAACGCCAGCTCTTCAGCTTAGAAATGGAGATTAGCACCATACCCCAGAGTCGGACACAACTGTACTTAATGTCAGGGGAAAACCTTTACCTTTACCTGTAATATAATATAATGTATCTATTGTATGAAACTCTTATAAGAGGTTGGTTTGACATCCAGTTTGCTGGTAAAGCTGAATGACCATCTCGCGAAAGGATGTAGGTCTCAAAAATATGTTCCCAACATGAAAAGTTTGGAAAGCTCTGTCTTAGAGGGGCACCCCAAACAGTGCAGCCATGCTTTATGACAGGAGTTTTCCTCCTTTTTTGCAGTTGATGACGAAGCATCCGGCCAAGCGCTTGGGCTGCGGCCCCGAAGGAGAGCGCGACATCAAAGAGCACGCCTTCTTCCGCTACATCGACTGGGACAAACTCGAGCGGAAGGAGATCCAGCCCCCGTTCAAGCCCAAAGCTGTAAGTGCTCCCCTCTTTCCCCCCCTCCTTTTCTTCCTTCTTTCTTTCTTCCTTAAAACAGCAGGAAGACGCTTCCAGGAAACAGAGACTTTGCTCTGCAGGAACATCATGCAACCCAGACCCAGTTTGGACACTAAAGGTGCTTTTATTGAGTGTCCAGCCTGCCTCCCTTTCTCATGGGATGTTTGCAGGGGGTCCAAATAATATACAAATAGTGATATTACCCAAGATGCTATGTGATGCTGGCAATAGACAATACAACTGCCCAGGAAACCTTGGTGCGGCTAGAATTCGGCCATTGCATTTCAATAATAATAATAATAATAATATTTATTTATTACTCGCATCTTTTTCATCTCAAGACATAGTTAAATACATCTATACAATCACATCTTAAAATATAGTTAAAATGCAACCATGAAAGTATATATGAAAACATATATACATCCATGTCCTTCCCAGTTTTGTTTCCTTTCTGGTATTAGCAAATAATAATAATAATAATAATAATAATAATAATAATAATAATAATAATAATGTTTTTGTTACTAGTTTTCCGGGCTGTATGGCTATGTTCCAGAAGCATCCTCTCCTGACATTTCGTCTGTATCTATGGCAGGCATCCTCAAAGGTTGTGAAACCTCACAAATTTTGAGTATGCCTGCCATAGATGCAGGCAAAATGTGAGGAGAGGATGCTTCTGGAACATGGCCATATGACCCGGAAAACTCACAAAAAAACAGTGATTCCAGCCATGAAAACCTTCGACAATATAATAATAATAATAATAATAATAATTGTTTCTATCCATCTCTATTCATGGCTTGGGCAGATTACAGAATAATTGAAACACATAAACGTTGTAAAAATACCAAAAATACACATATTCAAATGCATTTCTATAAGGGATCTATTGCTCACCATGGCAGCCATTTATTTCCTACAGGCTCAAGGGGTGTGTGTGTGTATGTATGTGTGTGTGGCAGTGAATAGGGAAAATAGAGGGTTCATTTGCTGCCTTCTTTGGGACAAGCAATGGATCATTGGTGTGAATGCGCCTTTGACCCAGCATGGCTCCTCGAACGGATGGGATCTACATTGCACAAACCAATGTAGTTTGACCCCACTTTTAAGTCCTGTGAAGCTCAATGCTATGGAATCCTGAGAGTTGTAGTTCGGGGATGCACTTTTGGATTTTAAAGACCTTGCAAAACTACAATTCCCATGAATCTAAAGTAGAGAGTGGGGTCAAATTGCCTCCATTCTGTCATTTAGCCTCCCATCTGGAATGCCCCTAATTGTGTTCTCTTATTGTTCATAATGGGAGCCAGTGCTCCTCCATTATCAAAAATTCCCCACTAGAAGAAATCTAGCTTGGAGCCTGACCCTGAGATACTATACTAATATATGGCGCTGCACCCAGTGCCCCAAAAGGCCTTTTCTTTGCTGTTTGCCACCTTCTCTGCTTGTGTTCCACTCACTTTGTTTGTGGGTAAAAAAGAGTCCCTTTTTTGCAATCCATGCAATGTGCTGCTTAGTGTTTTGCTCGGGGACAGTGCTGCCTCCCTGAATCATTGATGGAGCTGATGGGAAGGCACTCAGCAGGTAAAAAGCTGCAAAAACCCTGAATACTTTATGAGAAAACAGCCCCAAAAGTGGGTGGAAACTCCATGTCCCCAGGTTTTTTTTGCTGCCGTGTCTGTCCCTCTGCCTGTAATGGAGGCATATACATATATTCCCCAAAAAACTATTCCTGGGTTTGCAGAAACCCTGAAATGAAGAATCTAATACTGATGAGAGTGTTTGCAGTTGAGACTTCTTTTTGCACAGAAAGCAGTATTTTCTACACATAAAAGAGAATGTTCCTGTACTGAAATATTATTTATCTGAGCTGAAGACTGTTGTGGATTTTGCACAATGGAACAACATATTGATTCAATGGACCTTCTCTACCTAGACCTAACAATAGTTGTGAGTTTCACTTCGAAAGCAGGAAATTGTTGTTGTTGTTGTTGTTTACCCCTGGAAGCAACATATTCACTATCAAGGGTACTGCTGCATACGTTTCTCCCACTGGTTATAAGCCTATTAACCCTTGTTGTTTTGAACTCTGCACATGGTCAAGAGGTGCAATGCAGGTATCTGTAACATGCAAAGGCAAGGAGTGCAATATTATTGAAAGTAGGGAAGGATTCCTTTCCATGGTTTACTCCTTTAGGGTCCTTCTTTGCTACCAATCATAAACCTATTCACCCATCGCATTTTGAACGCTGCACATGCTCAAGAGGTGCAATGAAAAGCAGGGTGTGCATTTCCATGGAAAAGAGGGAAGGGTTTCTTTTTTTTCCAATGTAATTCTTTTCCACAGTTTACTACTTTCCCCAAGAGTATTTGTTCTTTTCTACCAGTTATTGGCATCTTATACTCTGGAACATGGAAAGGCAGGGAGTGCATTCCCATGGAAAGTAGGGAAGGATTTCTTTCCACGGTTTCCTCCTTTCTATAAGGGCCCTTCTTCTTTGCTACCAATTCTACTCTTTGCATTTTGAACTCTGCACATGCTCAAGAGGCGCAATACAGGTTTCTGTAACATGCAAAGGCAGTGAGTGCATTCCCATGGAAAGTAGGGAAGAATTTCTTTCCAAGGTTTACTCCTTTAGGGTCCTTCGTCTTTACTGCCAATTATATGCCAATTCACCCTTTGCATTTTGAACTCTGCACATGCTCAAGAGGCGCAATGCAGATTTCTGTAACATGGAAAGGCAGGGAGTGCAATTCCCATGGAAAGTAGAGAAGGATTTTTTTCCACGGTTTCCTCCTTTCTGTAAGGGTTCTTCTTTGGTGCCAATTATTTGCATTTTGAACTCTGTACATGCTTGGAGACATCTGTAACATGGAAACGCTTGTGCCTTTCGTTGTTGCAAAGGCGAATGGGATTTCATGCCCTTTCTCTTTACTGCCTTTCTTTTGGCTTTCCTTCTCTGCCAATATTGTCATACGTATATATATATATATATATATATATATATATATATATATATATATATATATATTCAAATGAAGCTGGCCTTCTGCAGATGATTTATCTGCCCCAAACAGATTGATCCTCAGTGTGCAAAAGGCGAGTGAAGGCGGCCTTTATGCGCTCGGCTGGCCTGGCCCGATGGTCCCTGCATACCAATTGCCAGCCACGGTCGGTTGGCAGAAGCCCAAGCCGCCCTTTCTCAATATTTACACGCCACCCTTGAGATAATTACGGAGCTGAGTGGGTTTTTATATTATTATTATTTATATCTATCTATCTATCTCGCACACATACTCATGCATCTCAATGTGCAATCCCTTCTTTGTATGGAACCCAGTGATTTGGAAGGACTCTGTGCTTTGATGCTGCAGCAGAAGCACTTCTGTGTTTTTAAAGTCATCGTTATATAAATCCCAACCTGGAATTGTCTTAATTAAAATGATCGGAGAGGGTTTTTGCAAGACTCCGCATGGATGGAAGACATTGTGGGTCTATGCCAGTTCCAAGAACCTTTAATTCCCAGCATTTTGTAAAAATATATGTATATTCTGATGTACACTCTGCAATTAGAGCAGTATGATCCTCAGTTAAATGAAGTTCCTTGTGCCTTCTTTCCACCTTGATCTATTTTCTTTTCTTTGCAAAACATTTTCTGTTTGAATGGTAAGTTGAGAGCAATTGTGGTTGGTCCTTAATGCAAAGTGGCTAATGCTGTTTAAAAGCGACTGTCAAAGGTCCCAGGTTTTGGGGCCCTCGGGGCCTGGGATGATCCTGATCTCGCATTAAAGAGGCGTCAAACTGCATTAATTCCGCAGTGTAGATGCACCCGTTGATGTCAGGACAGCTGCTCCCTGCAACTTGCCGTCAGGAAGGAAAGCCATTAATTTTGATGCCGACGAAGGCTGACGCAGCCCCTGGTCTGGCCGGTTGGCAGAGTCAAATGTTATCCAAGACGTTGTTTGGTTCCATTAATAGCTTCAGAGGTTTGATCAAAATCCATTTTTTAAATTTTAAAAAATCCTGGTAAATTTAGACAAATGGCTCACTGGTCACTTGGCCACTGAACCCTTTGGACAAAAATGGAGAAATGTCTGTCTCTTATTATATTTAATAGAGCGAGAGGGAGGTTCAACGCCTTGCAGTCTTTGCGATATCCAGAGAATAATAATAACAATAATAGCTTACATGATATGAGGATTTAAAGATAGAACTGCAAAGACTCTGGCACAAGCCAGTCAAGGTGGTCCCAGTGGTGATCAGCACACTGGGTGCAGTGCCTAAAGACCTTGGCCTGCACTTAAAAACAATCGGCGCTGACAAAATTTCCATCTGTCAGCTGCAAAAGGCCACCCTACTGGGATCGACACACATTATTTGCCAATACATCATACAGTCCTAGACACTTGGGGAGGGTCTGACATGTGATCAAATGCAAAAGCCAACAGAGTGATCTTGTCTGCTGTGTACTAATCTTGTTATGTATCTAATAATAATAATAATAATAATAATAATAATAATAATAATAATCTGTTTCTTAATATAGGCTCACAGTTTTGCATCTCTCACTGATATCCAAAGCTCCTGAATGGAATACATTATTATTATTGTTAATGTTATTGTTGTTGTTATATTTCCCCTATCAATGCCATAAGGATGACCCAAAGCAGCTAATTTCACAACAGCTTCCAAGAATTTCAAACTTAGGGAGCATCTATACTGCAGAATTTCTACAGTTTTGGAGAGTGGCGAGCTTTCCTTTTTTCTGAGGTCTTTCAATAGATGGAAATCACTCAGGGATGCTTGAATTCTATATTTCTGCATTACAGAAGGGGGTCAGATTAGATTGTCTTTGGGGTTACCTTCCAACTTTATTGAATTTTGGACTGCTTTGTACTCTCCTTTAGAGGTCTTGAATGGGAATCTTTGGAGAATCTTGTATTCCTGCATAGGAAAAAGGGCTGGTCTAGATGGCCTTTGGAGTTCCTTCAAACTTGAGTGGATTGTTGGAGGACAGTGGGAGATCTTTCAATGGAGGTTGGATGGGATCTTTCAGGAGTGCTTGAAGTGTGCATTTTTGCTAGCAAAAGGGGTCAGTCTAGATGTCCTTCAGACTATTGCATTTTGGATTACATTGGACTCTGTGACTGGGCATCTTTGGTGATTGTTTTATTCCTGCATAAAAAGGTGTTAGTCTGGATGGGCTTTGGGGGTCACTTCTGACTCTAGTGGATTTTGGACTTCCCTGGATTCTCCTTTGAAAGTCTCATTTGGGCATCTCTGGGGGAATCCTGTATTCCTGCATAGAAGGGGCTTGGTCTAGATGGCCTTTGGGGATCCCTTCCAAATCTATTGAACTATATTCTGCCTTAAAAACAGTGGGGTCTCCTTCTTTGGGGTCCCTTAAAATATGTTTAGATGGGCATCTTGTTGCAATTTGTGTTCCTGGAAGAATGGGGTTGGACTAGCTGACCCTTGGGGACCCTTCCAACTCGACAGTAATGTGCTTCTAAGAAAAACGAGAGATACAAGAATGATAACCAATGTGTTTATCTATTTGTTCAAAAAAAGAGAGAGAGGGATGCCCCCAATCCTTGCATGTGGCACATTTCCGGACAGGTATGGTATTGCATGCACCAGGCAAAGAAGCCCCACAAGTAATTGCCTTGCCATCTCATCCTCCTTTTACAATTACTTGCGAGGAACCGGCCGGCTCCCCATTTCCCAGCACCTCATTGACCCCCAAAAGTATTAATACTCAGCAGTTGCCTCTGCCAAGCGCACCCTTCCTCTTCCGAAGGTCTTTGCATTCCTCCTTCCTTTTGATTTCTGCCATTCTGCTCACCTGGAATGACTTTTGCCTGAGCCATGCAGGGGACCGTGATGATGGGAGAATGGCCGCCAGCTGCACCTGACTTCTTTACGTTGGGAGTTTGCATTTCCTTTGCTTTGGTTTTCTGTTTGCACACGCCGTTTTGCACACCCCTTTTTTTGTCCCCCACCTACCATGCGTTCTTTTCTTCCCCTCTCATAGTGCGGACGCAGCGCCGAAAACTTCGACCGGTTTTTCACCCGCCACCCGCCCGTCTTAACGCCACCCGACCAGGAAGTCATCCGGAACATTGACCAGGCAGAATTCGAAGGATTTTCCTTTGTTAACTCTGAGTTTTTTAAGCCTGAAGTCAAGAGCTAAGTAGCCCTCGTCCGTCGCAGTTGCAAACCACCCTCCATTGCTCCTCCTCCTCCATCGCTCCTCCTCCTCCTGCTCATCCGTCATGGCGACATCCCTTCTTAGCTTTGGGTTTTCTTTTGGGGTGATGCCAGAATGGCCATCTCTCCAAAGTCCAAAGGTTCAAGGGGGCATTTAAGTCCAAGTTACGTGTCCAACGGTGATCCTTTTGTGGCGATACCAGAATGACCATCTCTCCAAGATCCAAAGGGTCATAGATGACATTTGCATCAGGTCCAAGTGTCCAACTTATGCATCCAAGATGGGTTTTTTGGTGGTTATACTAGAATGGCCATCTCTCCAAGGGTCAAGGGGAGCATTTAGGTCTAAGTTATGGGTCCAAATGTGATGCTTTTGTGGCAAAACCATAATGACCATCTCTCCAAGTCCAAGTGTCCTTGATTACATTCATAAGGTCCAAGTGTCCAACTTATGGGCCCAAAGATGTTCCCTTTTTCTGGTGGCATCCATAGATTTGATTCTGTAACTGCTGGTGTTGCTCTTTCATATCAATTCTAGAATGTCCAAAGGGTCATGGGGTACATTGCATCAGTGTCACATATGGAACAAGTGCCCAAGGTGATCCTTTTGTGACAACACCAGGATGACCATCTCTCCAAGGTCCAAAGGGTCATAGATGACATTTGCATCACCGAGTGTCCAACTCATGGGTACAGAAATGCTCTTTTTCTTTGGAGGTATCCATAGATTTAACTTAATAACCATTTATGTTGCCCTTTTGAGCAATACTAAAATGACCATCTCTCCTAAGGTCCAAAGTGTTACGGGGGACACTCAGGTCCAAGTTATGGGTTATGGGTTCAAAGATGCTCCTTTTGTGGCGATACTACAATCACTTTTTCTCCAAGGTCCAAAGGGCCATAGATGACATTTGTATCAGGTCCGAGTGACCAACTTATGGGCCCAAAGATGTTCCTTTTGTGACGATATCAGACTGGCCATCTCTCCAAGGGTCCAAAAGGTCATGGGGACATTTGCATCAGGATCATACATAGGACATGTGCCCAGTTTATGGATCTAAAGATGGAGAACAGAAAGTTGAGAAAAGGGGACATGAGAGCCATATTTAAACATTTGAAAGCATGCCCTATTGAAAATAGAGGCAAGCTTGTTTTCTTCTGCTCTAGAGACTGGGACACAATGGAGCAAAGGATCCAAATGGAAAGAAAAGAGAGTCTACCTAAACATGAAGAAGAACTTCCTGGTGATGGGAGCATTTTGACAGTGGGAAATATATTATGGGGTCTCCTTCTTTGGAAGTTGTCAAGCAAAGGCTAGATGGCCATTTGTCGGGAGGGCTTGGATAGTGTCTTCCTGCTTGGCAGAATGGGGTTGGACCGGATGGCCCTTGGGGTCCTACCCAGGAATCTATTATTCTCTCTCTCTCTCTTTCTCTCTAGAGGTTTCTAAGCAAAAGCTGGATGGCCATCTTTTGGGAGGGCTTTGATTGTGTCTCCCTGCATAGCAGAAAGGGGTTTGACTGGATGGCCCTTCTGGGACTCAATTGAGCAAAGGATCCAAATGAAAAGAAAAGAGATTCTACCTAAATATTAGGAAGAACTTCCTGGTGATGAGAGCATTTTGACAGTGGAATATATATTATGGACTCTCCTTCTTTGGAAGTTGTCAACCAAAGGCTAGATGGCCAGCTCTCAGGAGGGCTTTGATTGTGTCTCCCTGCATGGCAGAAAGGGGTTTGACTGGATGGCCCTTGGGGCCCCTTCCAGGAATCTATGATTCTCTCAATCTATCTCTTTCTCTAGAGGTTTCTAAGCAGAAGCTGGACAGCCATCTGTTGGTAGGGACCGGGCAGTGTCTTCCTGCCTGTCTGAGTGAAATTGGACTGCATGCCCTCTGAGGGTCCTTCCAGGAATCCATGATTCTATCTATCTATTTATCTCTTTCTCTGGAGATTTCCAAGCAGAAGCTGGATGCCCATCTGTTGGGAGGGATCAAGCAGTGTCTTCCTGCCTGGTGGAATGGGGTTAGGCTGGATGCCCTCAGAGGGTCCCTTCTATAGGATTCTATGTGATTGTGTCATTTTGTGTTCCTAGTACCAGGAAAGAGGCATACATGCACACAGAGAGGGAATGCCAGTGTGGACTTTGGCACTCCATATTGGATTGCAGGTTCCCCACTAGATGATAATGATGATGATGATGATGATGATGATGATGATGATGATGATGACAGGAGGGTTCCTTTGAAGAAATGGTCATTCTGGCATCCCTTCCATTTCCTTTCCCAAACCTAATGGAGGCGAATGGGGCAGGAGGTTCAGGGCTCTGTGTGTCTGGTTGCCAAACCCACAAATTCCCCTTCTGTCCCTCTGTGCTTTCCGTGTGTCAAACCAAACTAAACAAATTGAAGCCGGTATTTTAAGAAAAGAAGTCGGTATTTGTGTTACTTGACTGAAGCTGTAAAGTATTTCAATTTTCCTTTAATGCTATAACCTTTTTTGGGGGGGAGGTGGGAGAACCCAAGAATGATGGGGTTCCGAAGTGTCTGTATTTGCAGAGAGAAAAGGGGGGAAATCCTTGCAAGATGCTGCTGACCAATTCTTGTATTTCCTCACCTCCTGCTTGAGGGGTGTTTTGCTTTGAGTCGTTCATGTGCCAACAACAACTTCTTTTTTTTCCAGATACAATTATAAAATAAAATTTACCAAAAAATCAGAAAGCTTGTTTGCAAGAAACCTCATTTTGTGGGCCGAATGTGCAGAGTTTGCTGGTTTGGGGACTAGCTGCAGAAGGAACAAATTGGGGAAAGTCAAATTTTGCAACTTGTTTATGGACTGTGTTTTGTTTATATAATTCACATATTATTTTTTAAATTCCCAGTTTCCTCATACTGTTAATTCTGTGATTTTATTCCTCCAGGGTCACTGCTAACCATGGGGTGCATTTACATCAGACTTGAGCAAACTTTGGCCCTCTGGGTATTTTGGATTCCAACTCCCACCATGCCCAACAGCCTCAGGGCCTTTCCTTTTCCCCCTCAGCCGCTTAAGCAGATGAGGGGGAAAAGGAAAGGGCCTGAGGCTGTTGGGAATGGTGGGAGTTGGAGTCCAAAACACCCAGAGGGTCAAAGTTTGCCCCGACCTGATCTACATGGTATAATTAGCTCAGTTTGAGACTACTTTTACTGTTGTACTGTAAGTTCCCGGGAGTTCTAGTTTTGTGAGGCCTTTATAGCCGCCTCTGTTCAATACTTGCAAAGCTACAACTCCCAGGATTCCATAGCTGTTAAAAGTGGTGCCAAACTGTATTAATTCTACAGTGTAGATGCACCCTTTCTATGCAATGTTTTATTGTGGCTTTCAAATTTTAAGAACAGTGTTTTGGAAACATCAAAGACTTGGGAAGGAGAGCCAGGCTGAAATGTCAAATCCAGATGTTCAAGAAAGTGGAGGTTTTCTTTCCTATTTGTGAGAAAGTTCAGTTTTGGTAACAGTAGAAAGACAACTCTGGTGACTCCTCTGAATGGGTGAATCCACTCCGGGTTTTCCTTCAGCCTTTTTTAGAGGCTTATCCAAATTGCTGGGAAGGTTCAGCACCATGGAGAGTTCCCTGTGCTCTGCAAAACCTGGAGCGGATTTACACAAACATGGATGGAATAAGAGAAACATGCATAGATTGTTTTGATCTGACTGCAGCTCAGATCACGAACTTCTTATTGCCCAATTTAGAATAAAACTAAAGAGATCAGGGAAAATACACAGACCAGTTAGATATGATCTCACTAACATTCCTAGCGAATATACAGTGGAAGTGAAGAACAGATTTGAAGGACTAGATTTAGTAAACAGAGTCCCAGAAGAACTATGGACAGAAGTCCGAGACATTGTTCAGGAGGCGGCAACAAAGTACGTCCCAAAGAAAAAGAAAACCAAGAAGGCAAAATGGTTGTCTGCTGAGACACTGGAAGTAGCCCAAGAAAGGAGGAAAGCAAAAGGAAACAGGGATAAGGGGAGATATGCCCAGTTAAATGCGCAATTCCAGAGGTTAGCCAGAAGAGATAAGGAACTATTTTTAAATAAGCAATGCATGGAAGTGGGAGAAGACAACAGAATAGGAAGGACAAGAGACCTCTTCCAGAAAATTAGAAACATTGGAGGTAAATTTCAGGCAAAAATTGGTATGATAAGAAACAAAGATGGCAGGGACCTGACAGAAGCTGAAGAGATCAAGAGAAGGTGGCGAGACTATACAGAAGATCTGTATAGGAAGGATAATAATATTGAGGATAGTTTTGACGGTGTGGTGAATGAATTAGAACCAGACATCCTGAGGAGTGAGGTTGAATGGGCCTTAAGAAGCATTGCTAACAACAAGGCAGCAGGAGACGACGGGATCCCAGCTGAACTGTTTAAAATCTTAAAAGATGATGCTGTCAAAGTGATGCATGCCATTTGCCAGCAAATATGGAAAACACAAGAAATGGCCATCAGACTGGAAAAAATCAACTTATATCCCCATACCAAAAAAGGGAAATGCGAAAGACTGCTCAAACTTCCGTACAGTGGCCCTTATTTCTCATGCCAGTAAGGTAATGCTCAAGATCCTGCAAGGAAGACTCCAGCAAGACATGGAGAGAGAGTTGCCAGATGTTCAAGCTGGGTTTAGAAAAGGCAGAGGAACGAGAGACCAAATTGCCAATATCCGCTGGATAATGGAGAAAGGCAGGGAGTTTCAGAAAAACATCTACTTCTGCTTCATTGACTATTCTAAAGCCTTTGACTGTGTGGATCATAATTAATTGTGGCAAGTTCTTTGTGGGATGGGCATACCAAGCCACCTTGTCTCTCTCCTGAGGAATCTGTACAAGGACCAAGTAGCAACAGTCAGAACTGACCACGGAACAACAGACTGGTTCAAGATTGGGAAAGGCGTACGGCAAGGCTGCATCCTCTCACCCAACCTTTTTAACTTGTATGCAGAACACATCATGCGATGTGCGGGGCTTGATGAATGCAAGGCTGGGGTGAAAATGGCTGGGAGAAACATTAACAACCTCAGATATGCAGATGACACCACTCTGATGGCCGAAAGCGAGGAGGAGCTGAGGAGCCTTCTAATCAAGGTGAAAGAAGAAAGCGCAAAAGCCGGGTTGCAGCTAAACGTCAAAAAAAACCAAAATTATGGCAACAAGAATGATTGACAACTGGAAAATAGAGGGAGAAAATGGAGGCCGTGACAGACTTTGTATTTCTAGGTGCAAAGATTACTGCAGATGCAGACTGTGGCCAGGAAATCAGAAGACGCTTACTTCTTGGGAGGAGAGCAATGTCCAATCTCGATAAAATAGTAAAGATTAGAGACATCAGACTGGCAACAAAGATCCGCCTAGTCAAAGCCATGGTATTCCCTGTAGTAACCTACGGATGTGAGAGCTGGACCTTAGGGAAGGCTGAGCGAAGGAAGATCGATGCTTTTGAGCTGTGGTGATGGAGGAAAGTGCTGAGAGTGCCTTGGACTGCGAGAAGATCCAACCAGTCCATCCTCCAGGAAATAAAGCCCGACTGCTCACTGGAGGGAAAGATACTAGAGACAAAGTTGAAGTACTTGGCCACATCATGAGGAGACAGGAAAGCCTAGAGAAGACAATTATGCTGGGGAAAGTGGAAGGCAAAAGGAAGAGGGGCCGACCAAGGGCAAGATGGATGGATGGCATCCTTGAAGTGACTGGACTGACCTTGAGGGAGCTGGGGGTGGTAACGGCCGACAGGAAGCTCTGGCGTGGGCTGGTCCATGAGGTCACGAAGAGTCGGAGACGACTGAACGAATGAACAACAACAACCAAATTGCTGGGAAGGTTCAGCACCATGGAGAGTTCCCTGTGCTCTGCAAAACCTGGAGCGGAATTACACAAACATGGATGGAATAAGAGAAACATGCATAGATTGTTTTGTTTTGAAAGCTCTCCTTATAGGGGCACAGAATAACAACATGACACAAAGAAGACATTGCAAGGGTGGGACTTTTGCAGCTAAAAAAATGCAATATATGGGAAGGTAGCCATTTGTGGCACCTTCTTGGAGAAGTCCTGGAGCCATCCTTTTGAAAATCTAGGATGGGAAGCTGGAAAGTGGATTGGGATTGGACTGGACTAAATCTGGGAACCTCTGAATATACCTGGAAATATATAGATATAGATATATATTTGAGAGAGAGAAAGGATCTATTCTCACTTGGGAATGACTTTACCTATATCAAGGTTGTCCCTCACTTTGGCCCCATTGGGATCTATGGGAGCTCATAGAAACCTCATTCGCCAAAGAAGCACACAATCCTTCCCCACTTCCACTTTGAAATGCAAAGCTGCCTTATCAAAGTTCATTCCCAGCCTTGGCATTCTGTTTATTGCATTTGAAGGGATGCTTCTTCCTCTGCTTTGCGGTCGTTTCAATTAAAGATTTGCACCATAAAAGCAAAAAGCAATGGATTATGATTGCTGCATGCCATTTTTGTGTGTGGGGTGTGTCTACACTGTAGATTTAACACAGTTTGAAACCACTTTGAACTACCACTGCACCTGTCGTTTCGCCAGGTCTTTCAGCTTGTCTGCTAAAGAGTGGAAACGACAATTCCAGAATCCCATTGCACTGAGTAATGGCAGTTAATGCAGTATCAAATTGTGTCAGACCTACAGTGTAGATGCACCCAGGGGCTCTCTAAGGGACTTTCTAAGACATTTGTATAGAGCAAAAGCATTTAATGCAATGCAAGATGGGGCATCTTTCCTTTTCGTTGGCATTTTGTCGCTGCATCCTCCTGCAAAGATGGCTTTCTGCATGAATAGCTTGCTTCCTTTGAATCCTGGTTGAAGGCAGGCTCTTTATTCAAGAATTTCTGAAGGTCAGTATATAAAACAAGCCACTGTCCAGACTGACAGGGAAATAATCATTCCTTTCCAGAGAACAAAACAACAACCAAAATCAAGTCTGCTTTCCGATATTGAAAATGCCCTTTATTAATAATGTAACAATCCAGTTCTATTATTTGTCATTGAATGTCTCCGTGGATCAAAGGGATGGAGAGATGGACAAAGGGACGGACAAATGTGTCAGTAAGTCTGTCAAGAATCCAAGGGTGGATCCCAAGGGTAGAATGGGTGCAGTCTGACCCCACTTTCACCAGCATGGCTCAATGCTGCGGGATCTTGGGAGCTGCAATTTGACTCACTTTGGCAGAAAAAGGTGAAGACTTTGGGAAATAATTTTATCACATTGAGCCCTGGCAGCTTAAGTGGGGCCAAACTCTATCCATTCTACAGTATAGATAAGGCATGGGCAAACTTCGGCCCTCCAGGTATTTTGAACTTTAACTCCCACAATTCCTAACATCCTTGGGCCCCTTCTTTTCCCCCCTCAACCCTTAAAGTGACTGAGGAGAAAAAAGAAAGGGCCTGAGGCTGTTAGGAATTGTAGGAGTTGAAATCCAAAACACCTGGAGGGCCGAAGTTTTCCCAAGCCTGATATAGATGCACCCTTGGACTCATTAGCCAACAGTCTCCTACTCTTACTTCCTCTTCCACTTCCTCTTTTTTTCTTTCTCTTTTGCTTCCTCTTCTTTTTCTTCTTTTTCTTTCTCTTCCACTTCTTCCCCTTCTTCTTTTTCTTCCTCCTCTTCCTCTTCTTCCATTTCTTTCTTTCTTTCTCTTCCTCTTCTTCCTCTTCC